TTAATTTGCATTACGGGGTTGTGAAGATTGTCAAGTTACACATTTTTGAAACCATTAACACCGTTAGATACCGGCTCAGTGGTCCGATGGTTAGGCGTTCGCCTACAATACCGAAGGTCCTGAGTTCGAATCCTGCAGGGTGCAGGAGTCGTGGATGCGCACTGCTGAGGAGTCCCATACCAGGACGAAACGGCCGTCCAGTGCTTTCAGGTTTCTAATGGTGGTCTAACATTGATCGATTCATGGTCTCAAAAATGTTAAACAATATTTGTCAAAAAATGATTCTTTTGAACAATTTAGTGTTGCATCTGTTTCACAATGATCAAAGCTTGATTTATGGATAATTTTTATCAAAGTTTGTTCCCCTAAAATTTTATTCATACTGTATTTGGTTATCATCGACGGTAAAATATTGTATTTCTGTGTATTGTACAATATTTGGTATCAGTACATTTGACCCCTTGAGTGATTATCACTCACAAACGCTGTATGTATGTTCGACTATAATTTGTTCTCATTAATACTCTCATTCATTAACCGTATTTTTAACAAAACTCTATATCTTTTCTACAACACTGTTTTCATTTATCTAATAACCATTGAAACTTGCCACCAGTATGACTCGGTATCGTGCAGCAGAAACTCAACCAGGGAAAATTTCCAATAACAGAAAATTTGTGGATACTTTGGACTTTTTTTCAGAGCAATCACTTTTAAGCAAAATCTAGAAACCAAAGTATACGAAAGGTATCAATTTATCTCGGTCAACTGGAATGTTTATTTTTTTGAAAATCAGTCGCCAATAAACGTTCCGGTATGCAACTTTGATCCACTTGTTACCATAAATTAAATACAGTTGTTCAAGACAACGTAAACTGTTAAAACGTCGATTTTTTTTCTCAAGGAAAGCTCAAAGTACTTACTTAAAAAAAATTGAAACACACACCCACACAGATCAATGATTTGCAACGTAATAGTCCATAGTACTAACCACATTAAACTAGTTCTTATGTATCTGTAGGCTGTGAACACATAAGCCAATGATTTCATTTTATAAATTATTCATATCACACTTGTCTCTTAGTCCTCTATCACTACTAATATTATGTTCAGTAAGTTCAGTTAATGAATACTTTTTTTCCTAACGAATAAAAAGGTTTGCGTGACAAATTAAAACTTATATCACACAATACTGTAAAATTCTGTAACATAGTTTCGCTTGAATGCAGGAATTGATCGATGTTGATGTAAACTGTTTTCATAAAAAAAATATAGAGATTCTTGCATACTACTGAAAAAAACGAACATAAATTATAAAGTTTTAGAGCTGTAGAACATAATGAATGATGTACTATTGACTTTTACATTTTATATGATTAAAATTAGTTCGCATTACGGGGTTGTGAAGATTGTTAAGTTAGACATTTTTGAAACCATGAATCGATCAATGTTAGACCACCATTAGAAACCTGGAAGCACTGGACGGTCGTTTCATCTTGCTTTGGGACTCCTCAGCAGTGCGCACCCTGCGGGGTGCAGGAGTCGTGGATGCTCATTGCTGATGAGGTTTCTAATGGTGGTTTAACATTGATCGATTCATGGTTTCAAAAATGTGTAAAATTAGTTCATCGAAAGACAAAACACGAAGAGGAAGTTAGTTGTCTAGAACAATAAATGAATTTAAATTCATGCATCAAATGAAATGATATTCACGTAATACTACTACTACAACATTTGTAATATACATGTGTAATAAATGAAATCAAATTCCATGGATCAGTAAAAACCTACTTGTAATAACATTTGTAAATATTTGACATCAGGCGGTTCTGTGGTTAAAACTCGATTTAATTGTTCCACTCGATGTGTTATATCTTCTAAAGCCACTTCAATTGGAGTCAGAGTATGAGATTCAGTGGATACAACTAATAAACGTGTTTTCATATACGGAAAACATCGAGATGTTGTTAGGATGTATTTACGCTTGTATTGTGTACTTAAGCTACCATGAGCCTGTCCATCAATTGTGAACGGTAGAGAAAGAACGAAGCGCTCTGAAAAAAAGTGACATAGAAAATGGTTCGAATAAAATTAATTTTTAAGGGTATACAGTAAAGAAACAAAAGCACAAACTATTCAGTAAATGGCTTACAATTTGCTTGGGCATTAACTGAGTTTACTGTCTCATACAGATGAGCACTCAGTTTAGTTAGCTAAAACATTCAGAAGCGATATTAAGAAGAGACAGAATAACGAAACATCTAAATACAAATATATGGTTAACCATTATTAAAGATTTAAACATTAGCGCTTTAAGTTCAGACAAAATCGAGGAGAATCATGACTTTTCATATGTCATTGTTAACGGAAAATACATCACTGTAAATGGAACTCTTAAAATGTCAATAAATTGTCCAGGCGTACACTTCCTCAGCACATAATAATCGAGAACAATCCTGTCCAACGAGTTCACGATGACCTTCATATATATAAATACAGAAATTGTTGCGTGGATGGTGGTATTCTATCGATTTATTTAATTAATCACATGCATATTTTAGCAATTACATTTTGTTCCCAACTAAATAAACCAAAAAATAAACGCATAAACATGCGTAACACTGTCAAAATAATGTAACGATATCTTTCTATTAGTTTGTTTACAACCAATTGTAAACATTTTTTATGTTCTCACTCATAAGTAAATCAATGTGATGAATAATAATTATGGTAATAGTTAAGTTAATATTATTATTAATAATAACGGCTTTCTTCTATATTATATGTTTAGTAGAATATGGAATTTTCGGCACAGAATGTGTCAGTAAGTTTCTTTGACAAAATAATAAGTGAATGGCAGTTGAAGAATTGTCAGCAGATTGCTAGCTGCCTCAGTGTTTCGGATTATACTTTTTGTAGCTTGTGAACCTTGAGCTCGTTAGCTGTTTATGCATGCGCTTGAACAGATTATGTGATTAATAGGCATGTTAAAATAAACAGAAAAAGGTAATGCCTTGAAATAGGAAACATGTAACCACAATTTTCAAATAGTCCGCCTAAGAATGGAAGACATAGCTTGGGTGGCAGCACTAATATTGATTTTTATATTATCCTACAGTTTCACGTTTAATTTCATCTTGCTATCAGTTGTTTTCATTAACACATGAACGTCATACATGTCTAAAATTCAAAAAAATTATTGTTTTTACTATACATATACTACTGCTTTTAATGACAAAGTACACTCGCAATAGTACATTTAATACGGTTGGGAGTATTTGACTTTTATTGAACATATCTAATGGCAGTTCCATTTCGATGATAGTTCTCAGTATTATAAAACTATGCCACATAATGTATAAAATTATAATAACAATATGAAAATATAAAGATTAAAAAATTCGATTTCAACTTACTTAAACCATAATTACAATGAAATTCCGTTGTACGTCTTCGAAGTTCAAAATCTTCTAAATATGGTTCCACAAACGTGATTTGAAGGTAACCCTACAGATATAGATAAGAATATTATTCAGATTCAGAAATGTGGTAAATAGCGGTTATCCATGAAAGACTAAGTGAAAACTGGCTTACATTACATAATACGTAATAAATAAGATTCCCATTAAAAATCATTGTACAAATTGAGACAGGAAATAAACATGAACCAATAACTGCTCACTAACTGTACACAAAATAATTAACTATACTCATAGTATGAAGTTCGATCAATAAATCAAGACACCGGAATTTTTAGTGATGAGTTTTGTTTTATATAAAATGAATACACCACTTTGTAAGTAAATTAAAATCTTTATGAATTAAATGTTAAATTCTAAAACTGAAAAAAAAAATAAACTGAATTGTGTAGATTAACTTTGTTCGCAATAGAAAGCGTAAAGGAATTAATTTCAAAGATTTTTTTTAAAAATCACTAACATTGTCACGTTAATTTACCATTTGTAGGATACGGACACTTACAATCATGTTTTTTTCATATTCCTTTACAGATTAACATTTAATATGAACTCAGAAATAATCTGAAATAATCCGCGCGAAATGATTCTTTGGATAATCATTTGAATTTGAATTTTATGTTGTGCATAATTGAACAGGATCATCTACTTTGAATTACTGATTCGTTTTTATCAATAAAACAACTTATTTAAAAGACACTAATCCATCACAAGATTAGTTGAGGTTGAGAAATTATAGATTTAAGTGTTATCATTATAAAATAAACTGAATATAGATAACGAAATCTGGACTAAATATCACAGAAAACATCAATAATATAGCTTTATTTTGTGAAATTCAGATGGACCATAAAATTATTTTAAAAGAAATATAAGACAGTTTGGCAAATTAAAATATTTTTCTTTTTTTGATGAAATTAATTTTCTAAAGAAAAATACACTTTGTATAATTAATTTCTGTAACTTTCTTTTACGCTTAACATTAAAAAGAAAGTGATTAGGTTATATTGATTAAGTTGTTGGCATAAATTTTAACTGAACTCTTATTACAATGTGAATGAAGAGTTCGGTCAAACTGAGGATACAGCTTATTCTAAATTGAGTCTAGTTAATCAATAGATCAACATTTGAATATCTTGGTAATAGTAAGAAATTTGTTTTTTGAATTAAACAAACACTGAAAAATTGATGTACAAAAAAACCACATTCATTTGCTTACTTTATCACTATCCAATTGTTTGTCATCTACAATATTTGAATCTTTAATAATCACTATTTTGCCTTGACCAAATTTATTTTCATAAAACATCTATTAATAAATTACAAACAGAAAAGAATATACTTTGACTAGAGAGAGAGAGAGAGAGATGGATGAAAGTTTGGAAAGAATTTTCACTAGATAACAATTAAGAATATCCCATCCTTCATGTCAAAAAAAATATTCAAAAGTCAATTATACAAAATAATTGTCTTTCAAATAAGTTGTTCGATGATAATAGTCTTTCATAGTTTTAAATGTCACTAGGCAAAGTTTAATCGTATAGAGAATTTATGCAGTGGGTAAAAACATGATTCACAGAAAGTAGCTATCATGATGTCATGCACATAAAGCAAAAGTTAAAAGTTAATTTCTGCATTTTAAATCAAACAGCACCTTTTTGTTTTTTTAACTAAAGAAGTAAAAAGTTTAGTTTTCCAGATCTGTATATACAAGTACACTCGCTAATACATACAATTTGCAGTGAAGCCAAAGTTTTCTGAATTCATGTTTCGAAAAAAATAAAAATAAAACTTAACAACAACAAAATTCTACCATTTTAGTGATAAATGTTTAATCAAATCTTTATGTTTTTTTCATCATGTTGATCAAATGAACCTTAGCAAAACTAATTACATATGCAGAGCAATTTTCTATTGCAATAAAAACAATATGATTGTATTTGATGTGACTGGATACCGGGACTATAGATGTTGCAAACCAATTGCCTAGTGCAATTGAATTTTTGATCTCTAGGATTTAATTGATCCTTACAAATCATTCCTAAATAATAAGTGTATTATTATTAACACTGGGTGCGATCTCGCAGGTCAACAGTTCTCTTTCATTTTCATAGTGAAAAGCATAAACACCGAAGACTTTAGAAACACGGTGTAGCAACAAAGTGTAAGATGTCTTTCTGATCTTGAAAAAAATGATTGTTGTTTTTTTTCTCACACAAAACTAATAAAATAAAAAAATAACTGTACTTGAAGTCTGTGAGTGATTTCAGCCAATTTAGTAAATGGCGCTTCTTTATACACGAAATCTTTGCCGTTTAATTCACCAAATATACGTCCATGAAAACCAACACGGAAATAACTATTAAACATTCGTTTAGTATTCTAAAGTGAAATTAGATAAAAAAAATAAGGTATGAAAGGTCTACAATCTTTTAGTATTATTGTCTTAGTTTGATCAATGAAATAATTCAATTAAGATCATTAAGCTCACTAAGAATACGAGAATACGTTGAACACATGTTTTTAGATACAAACAAAATACGTTGATGGTGATACCCAGTTTTAACTGCCATACTTCAGAAATAAGTGGGAATTATACAGAGAATATAAGTTCTCTTCACGATTGTGAAAATCTAGTCGATTTAATGCTTACAGTAAAGACTGCCTTCGGAACACAATCCAACCTCTATTTGTTCGCGTTATACTGCTAAGGCTTAGAGTTATACAGAGAAAAAATAAAATATCTAAACAAAATGAGTGAAATCAATTTAGTGTCAAATGGATAGTCTAACACTTGGTTATAATTTAAATTTTTTAACAGTAATGTACATATTCTAAGCAGAAATGAAATAACTAACCAAAAACTCGAAAGTAATATGAATTTACGAAGTGTTTAGGCGAAAAGCATCCATCAGTGAAGAAAACTGAATAGAATACCTTTGAATCCAAAGAAATGTTCACCAAAGACTAAAAAGATGCATTGTTACAAGACTAATTCCCAAAACTTGATCGATGAGGTTCGATTAGCGCTAGAAACTAACTTAACGTGATAACAGTCATTGCTCAGTGGTCTATCAATCTGGTTGTTGTCATTGTAGAGGTCAGCCACTAATTGAATAGCTAAGTGGTTAAGTCTCTATGCCACTGAATGACGCAAGTTTGGATCCCATCAGAATCATTAACCTTTCGGGTTTGAAAACCTACATCTAAGTTTTCTTGCTATGTCCAATCAATCTATATTGTTACTATGACGTCAGACTACTTAAATTTATTATAATACAGGGACATTTTAAAAGATGAAATAAATCAAAAACATGAAACTTATTTTCTTGAAAATTTTCACTGAAAAAAGTAATTCGACATTACTTGAGTTTTACTCAGTACAGCATATGCATCTCTTATTCGCCCATGTATTTCCGCTAGACGTCCATAATCATTACTTGACTGTAACAGAGTCACAAGACGAGAATACAAACATGGAACTATTTCATAAAATCCCGCTTTTGAAAATGATTCTGCTGTCCAAGATATTAACGCCATAAATCCAGGTAATGTAAAATGCCAAGAAACATCTAGAGACATAAGGGGTGATAAATCTTGAAGAATTATCGGTGTAGAACAACTAAAATTATCGAATACACTTGTGTTAGGAAAGCCACATGCACAACTTTCTTCAAGTATATTTAAATTTTGCACAGCATCAGCAATATCTGCACAGCCAGCTGCTGATAGCCCAGATGGACTACAACCTCGATTAATCATATGTTCAGCGACAATAGCTGTACAATGTGCCAAGCACTGAGAAGCTTCAGCAAATTGAGAAAGCTGTAAATGAATTTAGATATTAATGTAGTCATTAGAAAATAAGAAAGCAAACCAGCAAGTTAAAAAGTTATTATTTCTAAAATCATGTTAATTTATGGTGCATAATTGATTAGATGCAAATCTTGCGAAATCGACCAACATTCGTGCATTGGAATTGAAAAAACTATAAATAAAGAGTTTTTATACCTAAAAACATACTAACAATAACAATAAGGTATTCACTGTGAACCGCATACTTGATAATCTATCGATTGATTGAGAATAATGTGATGTGAGATCTAATGAGATACATGAAGATAGCTTATTGGTTCAAAGAATTAGAACCTTTGGATTAGTAATAAGATGTTTGAACTGAAGAACTGAATAAGGGAAAAAAGTATGTGTAACAGATCAATTTTCAGTAGCATATTTGAATTGGTTCAACCAACTCGAAGAATGAACCTTGTTTCCGAAATAGTCTAAAACCAGCGTTCAGTTTTTATATACTAATCCTATGTCCTCTTCTCTATAGTATAAGGTATCATTTATGTTCTAACCTTAGGAACATTAGGTGTAATACGAATGTGTCAGGTACACATTATAACTATTTGAAACGATTTGCACTTAACAACGCTATTCGATTTATAATAGATATTTATTAAATCAATATATAAACGGGACATCACTAACTTAACAAATAAACCTTAGATCCGTTTAGATCGTTCATTCCAAAAGTTTATCCTGTAAGCTTAAACAAAATATCTCTTTATACGTCTACTTAAATTTAAACAATTGAAAAATGTTACTAAAAAGCAGCGCTTGGTTTCATACCCTCAAACACAAACAAGCAAAACCTACTTCATAATGTTTTTCAGCAATTTGTAAAATCCAATACAAACGTAATTCCGGTGATGAACGATTTCTATGTGATATAGAATGTAGTAGATCAATCATTGAAAGTGTATCTTCATTGGCTGTTTGTTTACGATATTCATTCAATTGTTCTTGGTGTTGTTTATGTATCAAATGAATTGTATCTTGTAATTGCATAGCATCATTTAAGATATACTTTAAATTATCAACTAATTGACTAATTTGTAATGCAAAATTTGAATATGGTATATTTGACATAAATGGTATGGCTGGCACTGTTGTGGTCGTTGTCGTGATCGATGGTGGTGTTGTTGTTGTTGTTACCCCAGAAGTTGTATTATAGCCATCATCATAATTATTCAATGATGATGGAGATGTTATATTAAATGATTCTATGTATTTTTCGGCATTAAACACTGTTTCTTCATAATTACAATTATTCATTAATTTAGGCGGTAAGTTAAAATCAACATCGGACAAGGTTAAATGTTTCAAATATTGAAGGGAATCAGTTAAATAGGCTTTAATCAATAAAGTGACGTGAACATTGTCAGTATTCATTTTATTATCGAAATATTTATTCATTAATAAATTATTTGATTTGATTATTCCACTGCCAATAACCAATTTTGTAAAAAATGAACTAAATGTTAAATATAGGTGTACTTTGACAAAAGATAAACCCTTTGATTTGATTTGTGGAAGAAACAGAAAAAAAAGGCGATAAGATGTTGATTAGCGTGAAATTGGAAGATACGAGGAAAATTTACACAATAAACAGGCAGTTTGACAAAATGTTTTCAAATTCCAGTTAGATGTGGGGCAATCTTGGAATATTTTCTTACAAAATAAGACACTTTACTTCTACGTATTTGTTACGCATGAACGTCAACATGTCATTTGATATGATTGAACGATTACGAGTTTACCTTAGTCGGAAAACAAGAGCGAGGATCGAGGATTCGGCGACACGACATGCAACTCTAATCCAATCGTCCCAACGCCCATTGAGTAAAAGAAGAAGACTTGATATGAAGTAGAACGTGTATTCTACAAGTATCCAGAAAGTACGAGGTCAGAGTTCAGAAGAGGCTAAGGATCCGGGTCCGGGTCATAAAACGTTATAGATAATGCGTATTTTTACAGTTAGGTCGAATAGGAAACAACATTGAAGTCTGGGACATTGACATTTAGGACGACTAAATAGGAAACAACATTCGAAGTGACATTGATAGTGAGGACGACTAATAGGAATTGACCAATAGAACTAGACTTACTCATAAAATTACCTTAGGATATTGGATGAATATCCTAACAGTATCATTAACCAAACTTTATTTTCTGCTGAACTGAACAGAATATGAATTCTATGAAGTTGGCTAGATAGCGAAAAAAAGTTAACTTTTTATCTAGACTCATCTGAGCGATGCATGTGAATACAATAAAGACTCACTTCCGTAAACTATAAAGCTGTGTTAATTAGTTGAAGAATAGTGATTGGTCAAGTAAAACAACGAAAGTAAGTTATACGTTTATATTCGTCTAGTATTCAGCAAAATACTCAGCTTATTTTATACTAAGAATTAAACATGATGTAGTAATTCACATAAAATCTAATCAATCTAATGGGTTTTGAAATCGTTACGTTTTCACACAAAACATCAACTTGAAATTTAAAAAAAGAAAGCAAACTGTTTGATACGATAAATAGTAAAAGTATTTTTGAAATCTGTTAAATAAAATTTATATTAATCTGCTAAACATCTAATGGGATTAGAAACAAATAACCGTATTCTATTTAACGTATATATTTCCCTGTGGTGGTGTTTTGTTCCCTGAGCTACAAGTTTTCTCCACCATCTCAATATTTCCCTATCTATAATAAAAGTCATTTTAATTTCAAGCGTTTTTCATGGCAGAGCTTTCTTCTTTGCTTATTTATTCAGTAAACTAATTCAGTAGATCATATCAGTGTTTTGCTTAGTTTCACTTTAAGGAACTGATATGACTGGTAGAAGTCAGATTAAATTTATGAATATCAGTTTGTTTCGTACTCTCCTATTATGTCTTCTCAAAATTATATTCTCCAAGGTTCAGTCATTTTCTTTTATCAATGCTACGACATTAATTTGATCTCTCTTGTTATTTTCATCTCCTTGTACCAATTCGGTATGGCGATTTTGACCAATGTACATCTATATTACAATTTAAAGATATTTGTATGTTGTGCTCTTGTTACAAGTGATTAAATCATAGTGAGTAATCTGAATACTGTTAATATAAAATACAAGTTTAGTAGATAGAAGTTGTCAGCAGCTATACAGCAAGAATAGTTCGGCAATGATCTTTCAAGTTCCATTCAAGATAATAAAGTACGTCTTGGTTATTGGCACTAACTAGCACGAAAATGAAGTCGAGAGTTTCCTCTTGACTAGCTCCGAACAACTAATATCAAACTATAGTGGAGAAGATATCTAGACAGATTTGAGTCAACCATAAGAACTAGATAAATATAATATTGGGAACTAGTCAGTGATCAGTCAATGTACAAACATATCATCATGATAAGTGAACAGAGAAAAGAATATTCTTCAAATAAGTTACATTCTATCTGTTGTGCTTAACTATGCTTAACTATGAAGTAAATTGTGCTACCAATATTGATCCTAGAAACGCTTCCTATAATGAATTTGAAAAAAATTGGTGTTAACAACACTTTAAATGTTTGGTGCTAATAAAAATGAATAGATTTCGTTTTCACATGTGCACACTCTATTACACGCCTAAAAAACAAACCTTGATTTGTTCAGATATTTATGACAATAACTGTAAATGATGGAAACTGGCATCTAAAATTTTAAGATAACAAGAAGAATGTGGACGAAAGTTTTACCTCAAGATATCAAGCAATAGAAAAAGTTCACTAATACTAAGAATAATAAATGTGATAACAATTAATATTACAAAAATTTGTAAAACAACCACGTACTTTTGTTAATGTGTAATAATTTTTTATTAAAAAATACAATGTATCTACGGCATCATCACGAACGGCTGGTTGTTTCATTGTACACAATCGTAATAAATGATAACATGAAACAGAACAGAATTCCGGATTATCTTCAAACAGGAAGCTAGGAAACTAGAAACGAAGCAAACATTTACAAGGATTAAAAAAATGAATTTACTGGAAAAAAAATACAATGGTGTAAAAGAGAAATTTTTTTTAAAAAAAGCCTACTTTGAACATGCCAATGAAGGGTAACATTTTTGTGAGAAAAAAATAGCTCATAGCAATAATACATTTCCCAATTGAAACTAATTTCAGACTGACTGACTTAACGATTTAGTAACAATATACAAACTGGACAATTAGACTATAAGAGCATGAGGATTTTATGACGACCACTCACATTATTAGCCTATCAACAATGATTCATCCAGATATTAGGCATGTAAAACCTTTTACATTTCCCTTATTGTTGCTAACAGTGCAACAAATCGCAATTGGAATGTAACTAACAACAACAGCCAACCAACCAGTGTAAAGACAAATTAGCAATTTTCTGCTTTCTTTTGCAATGGCGCCGGTGCATTTATTCTTTGTGTTCTCTCAAATCCTAATCTTCTGGATTCTTCAACACCTCTAGTTTTGTCTTTCTAAACTTATCTCACTGAATCATACTTCTTGAACAATATCTTCTAATCCTAACCTCTCCGATTACTTCTAATACATTTACTACCTCTACTACTATTGGATTTGAATTGACAGTTACATCTCTGTGCTAATGTGGTATGGCAACATGAACTGATGTACTTACGTACGTAGTTCTACGTTCCATGTGACTGACTGACTGACAGAGAAATCATTCGGTATTACATTACTCAAGGAATGTTTTAACACCGTCACTCTCTGATGAAGCTGTTGAAGTAACTGTGAATGAAAAACGCTTGCAAATTGCATATGATGGTTATCGAGATAGAATGAGTCGATAAAGGAAATCCAGGTATCATAAGTAGGATTTTGTTCAGGAAACAATCATCTTTTTACCTCCCTACTAGATGCATGAATCATGCCACATGCACTGGAGACTTAGGTAATTTATATTGAATGACATGAAAGCTACTCTTAGTTTGTTTAACACCAATAAGTGACAAATAATTAATTCAGATCCTTATTTGTAATTGATAAAATATATGATTCCATTTAAAGATAAACTATTGAACCGAAGATCTAAGAAATACTTTAAAAATAAATTTCAAATGAACTTACTCGTGATATGATACGTTTCAAAGAAATTAGAATACGTTGATAATTCACTACACTTTGATTTAAACCAAGCGCATATAAAATAATACGAATGATACAACTGATAAGACATTGATTTGTAGACGGATTGCTTTCACCATGAATTGAATTCGATTTATTATAAGGTAGAATACAATTCAATGGATAATTATAAAGTGTGAATAAACTTAAGCCAGGTTGACCAAGTGCACTATCCAACTGCCATAATCCCTGAAAAAAAATGTAGGCAAGAATATTTGCCAAATAATGAAATATTCGATAGAAAATTGTAAGTTATACATTTGAAACACAAACTGTCTCTTTGAAGGGAAACAATGACAACTTCCAAAATGTTTATGATACCTAAAATGAAAAATGATTTATTGACAATCACTTATCTATGATGGCATTATAGACGGAAAGTTCTTTCATTCGTTTCAAGACGGGAAGCTAACTTAGTCAAAATAGATTAGGTCGAATCGCTTTGCAAAAAAGCAACCTGGTGCAAGTTTGAGAACCCGTTATATAACGCTATGAAACAAAGAATAGTTTTATTGAGTGATCATTGAAACGATGGGTAAAACTTTAAAAAGTGGTTGAACTGTTTGACTTTCAGTTGCAAAGTTAAAGAATAGGAATCTACTCCATCTGCTTCAGGCTGGAAAACTTCGTACAGTCATTAACTGGTGATCAATTTGTGTCTGGTGAATGAGCTTGTGCAATTTAAAGAGGTTTCGAATAGGATCCAAGTTGTTACACATGTATCAACTTTAAACAAAACTGTATTGAATTTTGAATGGTATTACTTAAACATATATAATTCACAGATTGAATTTACTTTTATAATGACATGAATATTTCATATAAACAAAATTTATCAAAAATTCAATCATAATTAAACATACATCTATTGTTGAATCCAATGAATTGCATAAGACCATAACAACATCATTAGAAACTAAAATATTTCGTAGAATATTTATATCTTGATTTGAATTAGAAAAATCTGTTCCATTTGAATATGATCCCAGTGAAAAACTATTGGATCTTGTAAATTTAGTCTTAAGTTTTAAAAAATTTGGACGAGAAGAATATTGTTGACTTGAGTAAGTGGTGTTATTTTGATGAGAATATGAACTTGACAAAGTGTAATCAACTGATGGAGATTTCAACTTGATAGATGGATCACGTGATGAGTGTTTGAGGGATCGATCAATAGGAGAATTGCAACCTGAAAAGTAAAACAGAGGTTAGATTGCACTACATTATCTCATTTATTAGGTGTTTGGGTATGAGTCATACTCCAAGTGTGAAGGTTAATGATACTGCCCGGTTGACTAAACAGAAGTAGGTCGAACGCGGTTCCATAATTGGAGATAATTTGGAAAAATATTCTTAATTTTTGTTTCATGTTTGGTGCAAATCAATCAAGCAGGCATATTTACAGTCTTTTAGAAGAATTATTATCTCTTGGGAAGTTTAAGTCAGCGTCTCAGTCAGAGACTGAAAATCATTAAGAAATAATTACAACTTCCAAAACTCCACTGTGTTCCGGGCGAAAAACTGAATGATGCATAAAATCGGTATTTATTTAGCTGTTGTTGGGGATGTTAGATCCCCAGAACCCGCTTGATAAATATCTTTATTTCGGATTTATTTCATGGACCGATCAGTTGACCCTGAGATCACATTTCCCACCAGAAAAATCCTTGGCTGTGATTGGTTGCTGTGTCATTTTAGTGTGCTATTTTCGTGACTGTCCCAAGGACGTCTCTGCAGAGTATAAATTAACGAAATTTGAGTGCTTGCATTTATAGTGCGCTGGCTGAGTGTTTGTAGAATACACTTTCTGCACTATATCAAGACTTCTTGCTGGTAAAATTGGGTCTAGGGATCGCAGTAGTCTACCTGGACGCGGGTTCATTGTTTTGTTCTCGTTATTCGACTAAGGTGAACCCGTAATAGTTTTAAGTATACCTAGAGACGAGCATAACAGCTGTATACCAACAGTTGTTTGTCTGAAGTTCAATGAATACTAGATTTTACTACAATGATTATAATTACACGTCAGCTAGTGAGAAACAACGCTACTTTAGATAATCCAATGAGAACATGAAGCTATATATATATTGCATAATATGAATGTGTTTAAGGGAATAGTTGCTTCAAAAAAAATACTATTTACCAATAATAATAATGTTTATTCCGTAAAAATAACAAACAAACTAGTAAGGGATTACACTTAATGAAAACACCGAAATCTTACTTTTATAATAAATATCTACATGTATTTGAAAACATACCATTTGATAGCTTCATTGAAGAGATATTCTGATCTGAGGTATTTACTGATTCGTTCTCGATTATTTGACGTTCTGAATGATTTTTAATACCACGAAGAGGGAAACTATTTTTAGGAGGCAAATCATCTTCAGAAACCTATTAATTAATATTTTACAAAGATACAAGTTATTTATTAATCACATTGTCACATGATTCATGATGAGCACAGAATAATTTATAATTAAGAAATGATAGATTTACTACTGATATTCGAATTATGACGTGAATTGATCATACATATTTTAGGAGTATAAGACAAAACAAAATCATTCATTGTCTTTAGATTATAATCTTAATAATGTAGAAAAATTATACGTTTGTAGTTTTAAGTTGAATTAAAAACTCTAGAACAAGATTAAATGATTTAAAATCGTGCTGTGCATGAATTTCTAAACTCATCTCCATAGCTTTACTTTAACTAGCAACTTTGGTTCACTAGAACATACTTAGAGTCAGCATTTACAATGAAAAGTGTTATATACAATGTAATCATAGATGGAAATATTGTCTCTCATATAGAATAAAGTTGAATACACCTTCAGTGTATTTATATAAACATTGAGTGACTGGTAAAAGTAATGAAGCGCTTTAGTAAATTTATTGATGTATATTAAAAGTACGTGAAATCATAAAGTCTACAGGATTGTTAGTGAAAAGGAGTCTTCTGATACAGAGGAGTAAAAATTTTTTGTAAGAAATATTCTCCATGAGGTATGACAGATGAATAATGATTTTCGTGGGGACCAAGGAATAAATGATAAATTCTAATTGTATTCTTTGACTTACAACGTACATGCGTATTTCATTGATCAGTTGAGGACTCATGCTTAGAAGAGTTATGCTGTTTTTTATGCTAAGCATTATGAACTGGCTTTATTTAGACAACCAGTGAAAACGAGGAGGCATTGGACAGCTGTTTTTTCCTAGTATGAGATTCCTAAAATGTATGCATCAACTCTACCAGCAATAGAAGCCAGCACTTTCAGGTATCACATAGAGTCCTTAAGCTTCAGGCGACTGATTCAGCATTCAAAGATTTATGTTTCTACCTTCAGACAGCTGTTGATAGTGTGTAGTTATTATCCGTTGGTAATGTCATGCAAGTGTTTTATTCCTGACGTGATTGAACTCCAGTGGTCAGGCTTTCTCATTAAAACTCCAAGAATTTAGCTCGAAAATTAGTCTTTAGTAGTTAAACAGTTATTATTGGTTTCGGGTGTTTTGTGCAGATCCTTAAATCTTATAGCTCATATCGTGGACATAGTGCTGCTAGAAAACTAGTGAAAAAACGGAACCACTGAATAGCTAGCTATATGCTTCCTAAGCTTACGGATTCAAGAAACACAGCAATTTAGAATTAAATGTTATTCATGGATTCAAAACAAATCAGCATAAAACCACCTTAACAATTATAGAATATTAAATAATTCATCGTACATTTGTTTCGAAAACATCTAAAATTAAGTAAATCAATAATAATAGTTGATTTCGTTCTTTAGTGTTAGCTTGTTGAAGCCAATTATGATACAATGATTCTGGCATATATTTAAGAATCCATACAATAATTAACAATAATCGCTTCATTGTACTGAATTTCATAGGTTTAACTGCATCCAATTGGGTACCAAACATAACGTTAACATATGAATCTTCATTAATTAATGGAGAACGAGATTTTTCCGGTTCTTTAGTAGTTGAATTCCCATCAGATACAGACTCCATAAATTTTGCAGTCTTTGCGTATCGCCTTATCTAAACGTTAGTAAATGAAGAGAACATTTCAGTATGAGTGAAAGGACGTTATATAATTTTGATTTATCAACAAACATTGACTAATGTGTGACAGAAATACAGACAAAATTATTTGCCCAAGTGATGCCAACTATAACTTCATAGTCTTCATTATCTTTAAGGCAGACAACCTGATATATTTTATAAAAAGGTAAATGAAACCATAAATTCACAATTTAAAATTAATAACCCTTCAAATCATAATTAAAATGTAGCTTTATTAAATTACCTTTAATATTCAGCCAACGACTACTGATCCTTACAAAGGAAGCCATCATAAACTTTAACATTCACGTTAATATTAAGAAGAAAAATGGATGGATGCAGCTGCACCATTGCAAACTATTTTTAGTCATATCATTTAGAGTCTCTAACTATCGCTTAGAATTGTCTCATGGACTCCCACTACATCTACTAACATGGCTCAGTCCAGCTGTCAGTGATTTCAGGGATTTGTGGTTTATAGGCCCTTAGATTTCTTCTAGCCTACTCCTACATCAAGAAACATCTCTCTTCAAGGCAATCAGGGATGATTAAAAATTCGCTACTTCATCAATCGATCTGCTATCGTTACCAAATACTCGTTTTTCAACAACAGCATGCTTTGCACAATAGACCCACGACATTTGGGCAATGTTTCAAAGACACCTATGATCGAATACTAATAACCTACGAATATCCTCTACCCTTACTGACCACGTTTCAAACCCGTAAAGTATGACGGATAAGACAGACATCACTCCTGTGTCACAAGTGATTCAAGTTGGCAAAAGTCAACCAAACCTTCTGTATCGACACAGAGATTTTGTCAGACACCAGGCCATCAGTACAGATAAGATTCCCAAGATAAACGAAGCAGCCGACACATTCAATTTCTCCACTCCCTATCACTATTTCAGGTGCCAACAAGAGTCAATCATGAAGCAACAATTTGCATTTCGAGGGGGAGAATCGCATTCCAGGGAATTCAAAAGATTGCATTTTGTCAGCACCTTTATTAAACGGAACTATATCATCTGCATATTCTAAGTCAACAAATGAATCTACTGGTAAAAGGTAAACACCTTAAAGGATAGACGATAAAAATGTAGTCCTGGAGATTTGATCTTCAACAAGTAGATCTAATGTGCTGTTAGTGTTAGTTTTAGCAACCTGGGAGAGTGAAATGAGGTTAAAGAACAACTGCTTGATATCGGTCTTACATGACCTTTTTATGTGAAGTTTTGAGGTTTTAGTTCCACTGTTCATAAGGCATTACCTTCAGAGACAGAAATCGTCGAGGTAAGGTAAGAAGTGACATTTTTAAGATCACCTTCTATAAACTTTTCCTTTCGTTTTGAGAAGTCAGAATCGCTGGTTGTTGGAGGAAAATAACTTATTGCTGTCAAGCGCCTCTACAGTCAGCAGTACGAATTCTCCCTTTGACTTAAATTCTTACCGCTCTCTAATCAGCCTACCTGGAATGGTAGGATCTAAAGTAACATATGTTCCAACTAGTACAACACGGCTGGGTCATCACGATAGGCAAGCCCTACCGCCCCGTCAAGGTAGCAACTACGATCGGGAGTCATTAAAGACACTGAGTCAGTTTATTAGCTTTAATTAGATATTACTCTATTAGTTACTTAAATGCGATTTTTTTAAACAGCTGCTGTATATTTATAACAGCTACGATGACATATTAGACTGAAAAAATACGATTAACCCAGATTATTTTGTAGAGAAGTTGCATGTTCGAGGGTGATGAAATCCAAACGAATGGCTTATGCAAAAAACTAAAAAGTATGAGGCAACAAATAAAAGATGTTATGACACATGAGACATAAAGTCTTGCTCTCGAATAATAAATGTACAATCTGACAATGCATATGGAAGTAATAAAGACAATAAAATACTAACTGAACCAATAATGATGTCATCAGGGGAAATACGTTGCAAGCGTGTTTAGAATTACGAAGTGAAAATACACGAACAAACATAATCAACATACACGTCTCATTCTTCCAGAAGCTCGAACTGTTGAACATGAATCATTTGGCGGATTAGAAACAGGTTGATCTGCTTTTGCAGCCTTAATAGATTCAGTATCAACAGAATAATGTGGTCGAAATCGGTTTAAATGCCATGTTTTAACAAGGCATGGCAAAAAATCACACGTGATATTGAGTATTGGAGAATAAAAGTAAGTGAGTTGAGATAAGTGAGAAATTGATCGAGTCGTTGGATCTTCTCCTGATGTCTCTTGTTCTAAATCCAATTCATTATTTAAGAGAATATTCCAAAGAACATTAACACCACGACTTTGTAGATCCGAGTTTCTATTCAAAAAGAATATATAATAGATGCATTCAAATCATCTATTCATTTCTATATTTAAAGCTAAAAAATATACTATTTGATAAAGCTTCAGATACAAATCTTATAGCTTGAATAAATTTTGTAAAATTAGATGATTGAATAAAACTACGTTGAACTTCACAACTGAAGTGAGAATGTCAAAAACATAGAAAATGGATTTCCAAACGTTTATTCGATATGTTTATTGAATAATAATACGAAAACAGTTAAAACGTGGAGGAATGAGACAAATTTACTAGGATATCAAGAAGATTATCTCTTTTCAATACAATTCATTTCTTTTTCTGGCTTTAAAGAACCGAATGTAGTGAGAGTTAAACTTATCAATATCATAATAGAGGTAAACGTCTTACACACAGAACTGTTTTATTGGTGTTCCTTACAATATCATACACCAGTGATGCTAATATTCTATTAGTTCTTATGCTTTTAGACTAGGGTAGATTTAGTACACTATTACCGAATATATCCAAGTCTAGTAGATAATATGTGAAAGTAAGACAAAACTAACCTAATCAAATTAATGCATGAAATATTTCACAATTTGCTGGTGAATTTATTTTGCTGATTAGCAAAATGTTTATGCTGTACAGTTGGTGACAACCAAAATAATAAACAACCTGAGTACCGAAAACATGCCAGGACATGTACCTTATTTCATTAACTGAATTCAGTCAAATATCCTTTGAGGACCAAGATGTAATGGACAGCGGGTCTGTCCCAGTATGGGACTCCAAACGAATGAATGAACGACCCCACCAAGTATTGAACGAAGGGGTTTTAAATTCAGTTATCAACACACTCACTTTGGACCAGTTGGCACAAATCTATGAAGTCAATGACAGGTGGACTGAGTCATGATGGTAGATGTAGGCTACCTGGTTGGGGTCCGCGAGACGAAAGTCACCGATGGTTAGAGACCTTGAACGACATGGTTCAAAGTCGTTTGCAGTGGCGCGGATGCATCCATTCTTTGTCTTTTCTCAAATTCTAGTCTTCAGAATTCCTCATCATCTCTACCTTTCTCTTTCTAAAGTTATCTCACTGAACCCTAATCTTCTCCATTACCAGTAATACTTCTACTATCGTTACCACTATTGGATTAGGACTGAAAGTTGCGTCTTCGTGCTGATATGGTATGGCAACATGAACTGATGTACGTATGTACGATGTTCTACGTTGCAATTGACTGACTGACTGACTGACTTTGAACCAGTAACATTTGTAAATGCAATCGATTCGCCATACAGAACAGACGCCACTCCTTGTTACGGATGATACTTGTCCCATGCAGAGTCAAAGGGTGCACTACTGGAAAGTCCTATACTAAAACCTAATGCATACACAGTGTTGCGTAATCGACAAAGCTTTTACTAGAAAATTGTTTAATGACAATAAAAAAAAACACAAAACACGTAAACCTACTCAGATTTTAAGGCAGTGATCAATTCACAAATGACCAATGAAATGAGAAAATGTTTATTTGTGACATTGACATTAATTTCGCTAAAATTTTTCTTATGATCCACCTTATCACCGTTAAGGTGATGATGAAAATTCTCTTCAGTTCCATAGAATTCTGGTTCAATTGTAGCCAATGGAATACATTTTGATTTTTTGTCCGATTTGATTGAATGATTTCTTTCAGATGAGAATAATTGTTCATAAGTTTGAAGTAGTTGTTTACAAGTTGCTGGCAGTAAATTACTCAAATTCACATGTTCATTTGTATTATTATTATTATTATTATTATTATTATTATTATTATTATCACTATCATCATGATCACTTAACAAGTAGAATGCTTTATGTGAACAGATTATTTGTAATAAATCTAATTTGAAATAATTTAATAATTTATCATTAAGAGTTTGATTCAATTCTGTATCGGAAAGTAGTTGATCAATCTGTGTTTATAGGAATAAAAGAGAACAATGATAAAGAGAGAAGCAGAGAGAAAGAGATCGAAAGTTGTTAGGCAAGATTTATATCAAAAGTAAGATTGAGACAATTAGAAATAAGACAAGCTTTTTGATGCATAAATGTCTTGTTTTTTTATTCAGAAGAAAACTTACTTCTTGTCAATACAAAATGAAATAAATCCGGTCAAAAAACTCTTCGGAGTTTTCACTTGACTTCGCTTACATAATTCAGGCTTGTCTGAGAAAGTTATCATTGATAAATGAATATTTAACTTCTTTTTTTCTTATTCAGTAAATTCAATCTCTGTAGATTCAAGCATTTTAAATTATTCATCCTACTTTAACATAATATGTTCAATATTCATAATTTGTTTTAACTAATTTGGCACAAACAATAAGGAATGCGTAAATCAGAAAGTAAACTTATTATTATGTATGCGTTTTATGATCTAACTAGTTTAATACAACTTGTAATGAATAAATTAAATGTTCAGTTACTTGTTTGATATGAGATATTGACTATGAACGTGTTTGCTATTAGTTTTCAATAAAGTTTTCGACTAATAAATATTAGGAAACACAGATCTTACTTGCCGTCTTAACTAATATTAAAAAGGATGACAAGTACTTGGATAATCCAATTCAAATGGCTAAACAAGAGTGTTATACTCGTAACATTAATTTACGAACTATGAGCATAAATGATGGATAACAGTAAAAAGTATTACAACAATACGACAATCGGCAGACTAATAGATTCGATTACTGCTAATACCTTTTACTACCTCAACTACTATGGGATTTGAATGGACAATTACATCTCTGTGCCTATGTGGTATGGCAAGTTGAACTTATGCACGTACGAAGTTCTACATTGCTGTTGATTGATTGTTGAGTTGAACTTAACGAGATTGAGAAATATGTTTGCTCAGCGACATTCTCATCACCTAATTATTATTCAATAATCTTTTTACGTTAATATTACAGAATATTTCATATACTTCCAATTATCTAACAACAGCTTAAATAATACATCTACATATTTAACTGTTATTCTGACAACTTTAAAATAGAACTAGCAACTGAGAACAAAATCTGTGGGATTTCGAATCTTTCAGTTACACAATAAAGAAGTAACCAATATGTAATACAAATATTTCATGAGATGGTGGAGAAGATTTGTAGCTCAGTTGGATGATTGTGGTGGTGGTGTTTGGTTCTCTGAGTTGGATATTTTGGTTGTGGAGCTTTCATTGTTCTTCTGAACAACATCATCAGCACAAACTTCTCACACCACAAATATTTCATAACTACTCTGATTATCGACTGACATATACACATATAATTAATGTCATCAGTTGTGTTGTGTTTGAATCTATGCGATACGCTGCAAGTATTAATAGGAACATACCTATATATAAATTCTAGAGAATTTAAGTTATTTCTCAATTTCAAGGCAATAATAGTAATCTGTTATGTTGATCTAAAATATGAAGCCTTATCATTTACCAATAATCTCAACGTACGAGCCAAATTTCACTTACTTTATTCCAATAATTTGTTATTTCAATGAAAATATACTCGACTGGCAAGAACCAGAGAAGATCATAAAGAAAAAATGAGAATATTTGATTGCTTAATCGATATGATTCCCATTGAACAAAATCTAAAGGTGAAAAAAAACAGTATGCATAATTGTACATGTTATTTAGGACATTAAATAGGCTATTATGTACTTGTGTGGTGTTCATCATTGATCAGTCGAATCATCTCTCAATACAATTATAGTTGGAATAAATCCTCCCAAAATGCATTTTCCTTTAAATGTAAGCTATACATTAATGAATTGGTTATTGAATATGATGAAATGCTTTTAGGATTTGTAGTTTTGTTAATAAATCAAACTATAACATAATAAAGATAGTTTTTTAGATAATGTTAAGTTACTTCATTAATGAAAAAGAATGAAAATAGCTAAACTAATAGAATGAAATCGGAGTCATAGATTCCATTACAAACTGATCTGCTTGAAACTAATGCGAGTTCACCTTACTCTGTAAATGGAACGAAGATCAACGATGTAGTGGCACAATAGGCTATTGGAATCCGATTGTCCTAGGCTCCCCTAACTAAAGGAAGAAGTTTCGATAAGACGTAGAGAGAATGTATTATACAGGCACCTAGAAAGGTTGAGGTTGCCAAGCACACAACGCAAGCTTATTTATATAATTGGTAAAACGCCCTTGGTGAGAGCCACAATAAAGCATCCTAAAACAATTCATCAACCACAATGATAGTCAATGATTTTCCGAGTGAGAAATGCAAGCTAAAGATCAACTGCGCCTCTCTGGAGCGAAAACACTGGAATTCAAAATGTCAGCGTAAAATTACAAAATTAGCACCTTTTCCAAGTTGAGTTCTGAGGATCTAACGTCCCCAACACTAACGGTCAACCAAATCACCGTATTTTGTTAATTGACTGTAGCGAAAACAAATATAATCATACTATGGGTTTATTCGATTAGTGCTCAAAATGGTATCCTAGTCATCAATGTGAACACAAGATGATGATTTTTCACTGCTTTCAATCAATCTCAAAGTTTAACTTGTGACAATAATAACAAGTGAATGGTAAATAATGTATGTAAGCCTAAATTGTAGATCAAAACAACCCACCTCTATTAGATGAGATGAACCATCTTCATATGAGGATAGGTTACTTTGTAGAACATTTGAGAGAATTGAACATTAAACTTACCATCAGAGTTTTTAGTATGTTGACTACAAACATATCGAATCATATATTCTGTTAGACATGAATTAAATGCACTTAAATCTTCCAAAAAACAAGGATTTTCACGTAATGGTAAAATATTGTTCACTTCATTAGTTTCCATTGTCAAGTGCCAATCTTGTGCTAATAAATGAATCTGAAAATTTACGAATAATAAATAATAAGTAGTCAATATCTGTTTTTATAAAAATATTATAAATTATACCGTCTTAGGAGTTTATTCATTTACCCACTTGGGTGAAATCAATGAAAGTTTGGCAGATAAGAGAAACATACTTTCTAAGGACATACAAAAAGTTTACAAGGTTAAATATTTCCCTTTCAGAGGTCATTAATAATTTATTAATTTCTTTTTTTTTTAGTTTAGTTTGTAGATTAATCTATAATAATTTTTTTTGATCAAAGTGTTTACATAATAAAGTGCGTTTGTTTTAAATAAAGAACAGAAATGAACAATACTTTCCACTGTAACTTAATTGTATTCTGCACCCTACAGATCAGTTCTATCCCAATGAAAATATAATCATTATACATAAGTGAACTAACTATTCATCGAATCATGTACATTTGTATTTGCAGCTTGCTGTTTTTTCTCTTTAGTCAATTTTAAACGAGAAGAACACAGTTAGGAATAAAATCATTCGAAATCAACCATGTAGTGATCATTCAGTTGGAAATCAACTACAACATTCAATAATTGAAGTGAATTTTTTCAAAAGAACAAAAATTATATGAATTAATAGTTGAAATTTTTTTAATTACAATGAATTATTATTATTATTATATTAAAGATTCCTAACATATTTAACCTAACAATATTATTTTCAATGTGATCGTTATCAAGAAGCATGAATCTAATACATATGAATATTTTTCAATGAAAATGTTAAACTAATCAAGGCGATTTGTGAGTCAATCATCACAATTAAAACGGATTACGTAACTAAAACATAAAATGATTCAATCACTGATACAATTAATTGTCAATAGAATAGTTTAAATGAAATGTCGAGGACAAAGTGTACGTATAAATAAATCATAAAACATTTGTTTTGATTATAACTTAGAATTGTTTGGTGAGAATAAAATATTTTATTTCTAAGCTCAAAGTTTGATCACAGTTTAATACAACTAGTTACCTAACGTTTATAAAATACTTGATAATACATAAAACTTATGAACTGCATACAGTACAGAACGTATTAAAATGCAAGATGAAAATACTATTCAAACTTAGAGGGTGCAACAGATTACGGCCATGGAACGAATCGGCTAAAATCTCTAGTGCTTTTAAAAGCCGAAGAATTGAAAAAAGAGGTGGATTATTTTCCAGTCAGGTAGTTTTTTTTTATGAGATTTCATCAATGAAACAAATTTAAAAAATTTATATATATTGACAATGAACTCTGCTTTACATTATTTCAAAGTGTATCAGTGACTTATTACACAGTCAAGCTGATTTGTTCAAAGACAATTCACTCAAATTAGTGTGTTTGTGTAAAAAAATATAGGAAATCATAGCTAGTTTAATACAATTTATTGTCAAGAATGAATATATTGCAAAACAACAAATAATCACGGCTGAAATCATTTCATGAGCATTTTGGTAAACACTTAACAATGCTTACTTGGTCTTATACACTCATCCCAATGATCACTTTTAAAAAAATAAGAAATATAAACAGTGGAGTAGGTAGTTGAGATAAACCGTTCAGTAACTTATGACAATTTATAATATTTGTAACAAAATAAACAAACTTTATTACTGTTAGTTTACACAAAATGTATCATTGCCAATAATATCAGTTTCTGGTGAATTTCAGCAATAACATTTTATGAATTTTTATTTTATTTTATTATTTCAAGAAAATCTTAAAAGTTATAAGAAAAAAAATGATCCAGCAAACTTCCGTATATTTGAACTCGATCACTTCTACTGATTAACTAATTAAGAGAAAGTAAGAAGACATCATTACTCAATATGACTTACAAATAATTCCAAAAGAAACCATAGTGCAGGGAAAAAGGTTTGACTACTTTGAGAATCAATAAGTTTAGTTCTGAACAAATAGATTCGTATAAGTTCAGTTAAAATGATCTGTAAATGAAGTGAAGAAGAAAAAAAACATTAAAATTAAATCAACTGAGAATTTGTTCATTATTAATAGATATGAAAAATACAATTTCACATTGATAACTGAAGTTAAAAATGTCACATTCATATTGGTTAGCCAAATCGTGACAATATTGAAACTTTGCCATTCTGCTGTTTTATCATTATTTATTCTTTCAAGCTACCGGAATATAAATGATTGACTTGTATTTCCATTCTCTATTTTATAAGTGAAAAGCGAAAGCAAAAATATTCAGTCAACTACAATACTAATACTATAACATTCGATAATCGTGACAATTTTTATGTATTATGAGGTTATAACAAACTGTGAATTGATTGAAGTGAGACATTAACATCGCTGAATGTCGGCTCAGTGGTCTAGAGTGTTATGCTCGTCTCTAGGTATGCTTAAAACCATTACAGGTTCACCTCAGTCGAATAACGAGAACAAAACAATGAACCAGCGTCCAGGTAGGCTACTGTGATCCCTTGACCCAATTGTACCAGCAAGAAGTCTTGATATAGTGTAGAAAGTGTATTCTACAAACACCCAGCCGGCACACAGTACATCCAAGCACTCAAATTTCATTTAACTATACTCCATAGAGACATCCTTGGGACTCACAAAAGTAGCACGCTAAAATAACACAGTAAATAATTTCTGGTGGGAAATGTGATCTCACGGTCGACTGATCGGCCCATGAAATATATCCGAAATAAAGATATTTATCAAGCGAATTCTGGGGATGTAACATCCCCAACATAGAGGTTAAGCGTTTGCAAGTGAGACCGAAAGTCCTGGGTTCGGACCCTTTGTGCTAGGGTCATGGATGTGAACTATGGATGAGTCCCATACTCGGATAAAATGGCCGTTCAGTGCTTTCAGGTTTCTAATGGTGGTCTAACAATGATCGATTCATAATTTCAATGAAACTCAACAATCTCCATGATAAAAACACAGCTCAACTATTTGATAAATTCATGGAAAATACCTATACTTTAATGGTTGACCTTTATTTCAAATGATTACTAAACAGTTGATTGTAAATTATGAAAGATGTGAGAAAATAAAATGTATTGAACCATTTACATTTTTATATGGCTAACATTCAAACTCAAGTTCAAATGTAGATCAACTAGTCAGTGGTAGATTAAATTTTGGAGATATTTAAACATTTAAATTGTATGAATTAATAAACACTATAAATCCTTTGAAATAGTAAGATTTATTAACTATCTTCAATAAATGTGTTATTCCAAAAAATATCTACTTTTTTTAATATGAAGGTCAGTTTACATAATTGAAAACTACAGAAAATAACAACATTATGGTGGTGTAGGTTATAGAAGAGTTAATTGACAAATTCTCTCAGGCACTCACTGGAATAATCCAAACTATTACTTCTGACCATTTTTACTATGAAAAGAAGCTTAGAAAGATAGGATTACTGTTAAATTATATATATATATATATATATATATATATATATATATATATATATATATATATATATATGATTCGATTATTGTAATCACGGAAGCACAGTATTTGAAAGGTGTAAAAGTTTGTGATAAGGCCTATCTATGAAATATAGGTTGTCCTTATTCTTATTAAGGGAGAGAGAATAAAAAAGGGGAATATTTCAAATGTTGAAATGCCGCCAGACATTTGGAAAATGCATTATGAAACAATGTAAAACGAAGAGAGTAAATGAAGTAACATGAATAGTGCAATATTTGTTTCGTTTTTATATAATTATATTTTTATGATAAAATATATGAAAACATTAATATTACAACTGTCAGTGAACAATTAACAAAACAGGATTCCTAGTGTTGCATCATTTGAGTTAAATACTTAATTTAAAGAAAATTTTATTGTCGTTTGAGATCAGCCAGTCACTTACAATGTAGAACTTGGTACGTACATACATAAGTACAGGTTGCCGTACCCCATCAGCACAGAGCCGCAACTGTCAATTCAAATCCAAGAGTGATAGCGATAGTAGAAGTATTACTGGTAATGGAGAAGATTAAGGTTCCAAGATATTATTCAAGAAATATAATTCAGTGAGATAAAATTAGAAAGAGAAAAATAGAGGTGATGAGAAATTCAGAAGGTTAGAATTTTAGAGAACACAAAGAGTGAATGCACTTGCGCCAACGTAAATGATAAAATCACTAAATCCCACGTTAATTAAGTAAATAGTTTCATAATTATTCCAAGAGAGTGAAATCAACTCGTTTTGGTGACTGCTCGATTCGTTGTGATCATTGTATTATGTTATTAGCATGAGTCTTCATTTTTGTGGATGAACGTCCCATTAAATTATTTATTGAGTATGTAATTGATCGATGAATTGGGTCTAATATCAATATGTTTTATTGATAAATCGACTTGGATGTCATGGTTTGAGATTAAAACAATTTCGATGAAAACATTCAACTAAGCTATGAATTTATTTATAATATGAATATCTCTGAATAGGCAATTACTTACAATAACCAATATTTTTAAAGATTAACGTATACTTTAGTTCAAAAGGAAAAAACAGAAGCCTAATAAACTATAAGATTGGCCTTAAAACAGTAGAAACAATAAACATCAACGTCAAGAAAAAGTGACTAGTTTCCGACTGGAATACTTTCCTTTTCTTTTTATTGAGTAATCAAGATTTACATTATTTAACTCATTAACATAGCCTTTTGATTTTAAGGTCTAGTTAACCGTGTATATATATATATATATATATATATATATATATATATATATATAGAGAGAGAGAGAGAGAGAGAGAGAGTTATTAGGAAATGCCAAGACATACATTGGCTAAAAGGCTTTTATCGATCTGTCCAGCATTTACCAAATCTGAAACTACCGGTAATCCAAATAACGGATGTCCAGAGAAATAATGATCTAAAACTAAAATAAACACAAATAAAATTGGTTTTGTAACGAAATATTTGAAAAAGTAGCTATCAGTTGACTGTCATTTTTTAAAAGATAAAAAAATTTTCAATGTCAACAAGTGTAGTAGTATATTCAGTGTACTGACCCGGAAGATATGTGCATAAATGTGTATTGGTTTGTTATTACTATTACTATTATTATTATTATTATTATTATTATTATTATTATTGTTATAAACATGATTTGCAAAAAAGATAGATTTATGTTTAAGTATACAAACATACATGCATACATACTTAGATATTGAAATTCACAATCTTCGATTAGATTGACGGTTTTTTAACAAACAAAATTAGGCAAGTGCAACTGAAATCAGTGATTATCTTACCAAATCAAAATGATATTTACCCAATCTACTACTAACCTGTTTCATTAGTTAAAAAATGTGGACCAGTTAAATATGAAACTAGTAGTTGATTTCTTCCATGTCTATCATTCAAATGAGGAAAACTTCGGGTAATACGATTTAAAAATACAATAAGTAATTCCAATGCAATTAAACAAGGTCGATTCATCTCAAAATTACTATTATAATTATTAGCAATATTAGATTTATTCCATTCGGTACCAGTCATTTTGAGTGAAATAGTATTTGTTATACAACTGAATAATAATCGAAGAAAACCATCAAGGAGTGGAAGGAAAAATGCTGTCAACTGATGAAGATTTGCTTTATGAATATTTGAAAATAGTTGTCTGAAATGTAAGGTAAGGTAATAAAGAAATAAAATAATAATAATTAATTCACTTGAATTATGGAAAATGATTGAATATAAGTAAAATTTATGAGTACATACAGTCTAATGATATATATTTGTTTTGTCTTCCAGTGCTGTCGGAATACTGCTGGACAGGTAGTAATAAAGGTCATCAGCTTAAGTAATTCAACATCGATTACGATTTGTCAAGATGTCAGGTACTTAGAAGTAGTAGTAAGGAGACTCACGACCTGGGTTTTGTGCACAGCATACCTTAGATATTGAGGCAACTGACACTTCCACGTCACTCAGTTACATAGTTTAAGATGTTACTACTAAGCTATTCATGCAGTAATTAGTTTCAGATCATTTATTGTAATTTCATTTTTAAACATCTAAGATCATTATGTATGCATGTATGAAGTTCGAAATCTGATTCAATGAACTGTATAATCTGTTAGTGTTTACGAATATATGCTAAATTATAAACTATCTATGTTGAATAATTTAGCGATTTCCATTTTTCATTTCGTATCAGAAGACAATAATATTTGTAAAATATGAAAATTTCGATAAGTGAATAAACTGATTGCTGTTACTTGTGCAGAAACTTTTAAGAGTGGAGAAAACGTACAGAAAATCTTGAATAATGTGCAAAACAAAACGACAATATGATACTGCTTCAATATTGAGAGCGGTATTTCTGTAAAATATGCCATCATTATTTATTAAAAGTCACTTGAATTCACTAATTTCTCACTAGAAAGTACATTACGATCTAAAACGAAATTTAGGGTAAACACGAGATTGTACGCAAGTCATACTACATGTTTTTCAGAATTGATAATACAAAGTTCTGACTGCTTAGATGGAAGTAGATCAAGTATTTCTGGATGAATATACATAAAATATGCATACCCGGAGAGCTCATGACCATCTGGAGGTCTGCTTCTGCGATATTATGAAAAATAACTATCTATTGTCTGTAGAAAGTTAATTCAATTTGAATTCAGACTTATGCAGATAACAACAGTTACAATCAAGTTTACTTATTTACTTTAAAGGAGTGGCTTATACTAAGTTACGAAACGTTAGAAATCAATTTTCGACTCATTGAAATATTAAAAATACATCACTAATTATAATCTTAGATGAATAGATTACCGAACAGCAGATCGATTACCAAAACTTTCAATGGTGGAATCAATTCGATTCATATGAAAAGCTGCTAAAAGACATTCCAAAGAAGCATCTTGCATGTAAACGCTCGAGACAACAGTTATAGAAACATTGAATAGTTCACGATGAGCATCAACCCATTTGCAAGCGTCCATACAAAACTGAATGATAAATAAACAAAAAACGATAATCAAAAGAGTATGAAGTGTATTTTTTATTTCATAGAAAAGTACAATCTAGATGATATTTGTAAAATATATGTATATGTACATATGTTTCTGATGGATTAGGTTATATAGTCGAAAACAATGAGCTCTCTGAATGTTTTTGTACTAAACGATTAAAACGGGTAAAATGTATTATGTGCACATCAATATTTTAGTTGTCATGTCCTTAGTCACTTATAAATAAAATTATAGTTAGTAAGCAAAGTTGTTTATCTTTTTTATGCACATGACACGCTTAGCATAAATTTAAGTGAAGTGAAATTATTATTTTTCCTTCAATAAATTATTTTTGTCTACACACATCAACGACAAGACTGAACCATGTACTGGCTGCCAAGCTACTACAACTGACAAAACTCCAAAGAGAAAGAAATTAACTGGTTACTTCAAATAAACCACAATAGGACTAGGTATCGACGCATAAATGTCCTAAATCAACATTTCATGTTCTAGAAGGAGAGAAAATGTTGTAATCTAAATAACCTACGTTTTATGTTTGCCGAAATGTTTATTCCTCTAATCTGATTTTCAAAATGTCACGCAACGCTTTGTACTGAAATTCAGTACATATAAGTATATTTGCTTAACTATGAGATCAAGCGATCAAGGTGATATGGAAATATTTAGTTTTGTGAAGTGATTTCTGATACTGATCAATACATAGTACGTGCATTTTATACTGAAATGTAATAAGAAAGGATTCTGTAGAAAATTCAGTGACCAAATGAAGTTCAGTAAATGCTACAGACATATAATTTTGTAAATCTGTTGATTAACATTATCGGTGACTCTTTCTACCAAACCCTTATGGTATGTATGAATAAATCATTGAAGATGTCTAGCGATTGCCTTTTTTACACTAAAGCGGCAGTTCTTTACTTGTATAACAGTTCTATAATTTAATAAAACAGTTTACAAAAATCAGTGTGAAAACTGCCAAGAAGCTGGAAGCAGATGTTAAGTGCCCCTAGTTTCTACTGAACTTCCGATCGATACAATACACTTTGAAAACACGACAGACAATTAATCAGCATTAACATAGAACTTTTTATTAGCACATGTGTGTAGCGACTAGAAGTTTCGGATTTTAAATCACAAATTAGTCTTAACCAAATCATCATCTGAAGCTAGAATATATTGGTAAGCTGCCTAATCTTAGTACGAAATTCCTTACTAGAACGCATTACAGCAATCCCACTGCAGGTGATCGAACTCTGGGCATTTGTTCTGGAGCGCGAACACTTAGACTCTAGATCACTAAGATCGAAGGCCTTCAGTTCGACCCTCTGCAGGGAGTAGTTGTGGATGCACGTTGCCGAAGAGTTCCATCCTAGGTCAAAATAGCTTTTCATTACATTATGGTTTTTATTGATGGTTACAGCTAAGGTCAGTTTGTGATTTGAACAACATCTTGCGTTGTCAATGCTGTACTATATATATATATATATATATATATATATATATATATATATATATTTGTTATTCAGATATGTAATAGGAAAATAACACACAGTATACTGAAAAAAGTATTCATCATTCCCAAAAGTAGCACAAGCTTATATACATGATTACCTTCTCTGAGATAGATTTTATGTCCGGTTTAACCATTGCCAAAGATGAAGATGGTTTTTCTACACTGACTAACAAATTGACATCACGATCTTTTAAACATCCTTGTTCTAGTAGAGGTAGCCACTAAATTAAAGTATAACAATAGAATACAGTTAATTATATGGTCAAGTTACGCATGAATGTATAGACAAATGATCTTCCAGGTAATATATTACAGCAGAAATGAAATATATTAGTGACTTTAAGAATAGGTACATATTTGAATCCACTGACTGATGTCTTAAATAAATAGATGTTATGAGCTAACAGTGAAAGTGCCAATATAACTCTCCCAACTGGCTAACACTAGTCGGAGAATCATTGTGAGGCAGAATTCACAAATGGATATTTTCTTTTTAGTTTAGAACTAATAAATGTGTGTAACAATCGTTTAATAAAGTCTACTGATGAGGGTTTTATCATTAGATCTATGATTTAGAATCCAATGGTATGACATTTTGAAAATATAAATGCTTGAACTCTAACTAAACACAGCACAGGTTGTGTTCGCTTCAACAATCTTACTACTTTACTTAAATTAATTTAAACAAATGAATATTACTTACAGAATAACCAATTACAGTTTCTAAAGACGTAGATGATTCCAGTTTCTTCGTTTGACAAATTACATGATAAAATGTAAATAACAGATAATGTGTTTCTTCTAATTTTGCCGGTAACTGAATTTTGATTTCATCAAAAAATTCGGGTGATCTAATATAAGTTAATAATAAAAACACAAGTTTCGAGATATAAAACATTAAAATTAAGTGTTTATTAAAGTGAGAAAAATAGAAATACATTAAAAACACAAAGTGCTAGAATTTTTCTAAATTAAGTGATTATTGTTGTGTTAACACGTTTCCATTAATCATAATACAATGAAGACAATTGTTTGTAAGGTTATAACTTAACTGTAAGTTGACTAAGTAGACAGTAATTAAATTAAGGAAGCACATCAATTTCATTTACATAGTTCTAATCAATAAGACAGAATTACTTCCATATGTTCAGCCTATTGTTACTGATTCGATGAGTTTAAATATTCAGTATATTTTTAAGTCATCGAATTAAAACATGACATGTTTAAATAATAACATAAACACATTTCTCTGATATTTCTGAATAGATTGACAAGACACAATATGATGAAATTCATAAAAATGTGCACACTAGTGACTAGTTTCTTGAGGAAGTTCTCGGAGATCTAGTAAGAAGCCCTAGGCAGTAAAGTTCAGTGCTGTCGGGTTTAGACAGTCACCTGGGTGAGGTTGATCGATACACTGGATCGATCAAATTTAGACATTATCATCGTCGGATACCAGCTCAGTGGTACGTACGTGAGACCGGAGGTTCTGGGTCCGATTCCCATGAGCGGGGGGAGCAAGGATGCACACTGCTGATGAGTTCCGTACTAGGATGAAATGGCCATTCAGTACTTCTAGATTTCCTTTCAATGGTGATCTAATAATCATTGGATCATCATTTGAACGAAAAATACTATTTAATCAGACAATTAATATGGAACTGAAACAAAAGATAGATCTATTGTGCCGATATCCAAAAGGTTTTATTGTTAAAAATAAGTTTTAAATACTGATAAGTTAAATTTTCTAATATATATCATCAGAATTTCACTCATTAGACTGATAAACTCTAATCACAATTAATAGATTTTTTTCAAATTTCTGTGATCGAAATAAAAGGATAATATCTATCAGCTAATTGGTGATATAAAAAAAGAATGGAGTGCAAAACTTTTACTAATACATAATGGATGAATTGAATGATTACTATAACTATAATAATCATTGTTATCAAAATTGAATGTAAGTTTTTATGTACGTAAAATCTGTTCAAAGTTAGAATTCGATATTCATGTCAAAACAGCAAGTTAACAGAATATTTTATGAAACTAAAGTTACTACCAGTTATTAACGTACGGACTGATTTACTGATCTGCATTATTGTAATAATAGTGTGTTTGGAAAGAAATTACACTGCATGATTACCCGGTAATAACTCATATTATGTATATACATACCTAACTGATTATTATCCGTCAAGCTGCAATGTGATCTACTAGTCTTAAGATATATTTTCGATATTACCAGGTTGTAGACAAAGGGAAGAAAAGTCACACGAGTGCTAACTAACAAGAAATCTAAGTCAAGAGTATCCCCTCAATTGTCTCAAACAAATTAACACTCATAAAAGCACAAATAGAACATAACGGATAACAATGAATTTGTTAGTAAGTAGCTAAGAGCGAACGCCATTACAGTTCATTAATTATGTGGTTAGGAATCGTTAGTTATCTCTACACCTCATTATATATTCATGCTCTGAATAAAATTTAAGCTCATTAAAAAAACAAGCACATTAATCAGAAATGTAAATAAATCTATTCCACAAAAAATTACGTTCAAGACTATTTAGAATCCCATTATACTAAAGAATTTTTCTAAATAAACTTAGTTCTTAAAAAAAGACAGATATTTATATGCTTTTGTTTAGAAGATGCTATAAACTGCAAATGCACAGATACGTTGGGTCAAATATTTTGGTTTTATTCATTACAACTCCATCGTCATGAGTTACACTCAAAGTTTACTTTGACTTAACGAATTTAAAAAATAAATATTTCCTGTCAAAAATGACAATAGAATAATGTTAGGTTCGTCGCTAGGTACGCTTGAAGCTATTACGGGTTCACCTTAGTTGATAAACGTGAATGAGACAAATACCAGCGTCCAGGTAGGCTACCTTGATCCAAAAACTGCAAAAGAGAAGTCTTGATAAGCAACCAGCAAGCAAAATACAATCAAGCACACAACTCTCGTTTATTTATACATCACAGAAACGTCCTTGGGACAGTCACAAAAATAGCACACTAAAATACACAGCAGCCAATCACAGCCATGGATTTTCCTGTTGGGAAATGAAATTTTAAGGTCAACTGATCAGATAATGCTCGCATACGTGAAGTCCAAAATAAGGCATTTATCAAGCGGGTTCTGGGGATCTGACATCCCCAACAAATAAATTACTGAAATAAATGATTTTGATAATGAACAAACAAAATATTAAGTTAGCTGTTTAACAACAACAACAGCAAACAAGAGACCAGTTTGTCAACATATAACACAATTGATATGTGCAAATGGATCATGAAATCTATTACTGTTAGGTATAATACGGTCAAATAATATATGGCTAAACAGTAAACTATCCCGATGATAGCTGTTAGTAAGCATTTTGAAACAAATTATGAAATTTTTGAAACCATGAATCGATCAATGTTAGACCACCATTAGAAACCTGCAAGCACTGAACGGCCGTTTCGTCCTGGTATGGGATTCCTCAGCAGTGCGCATCCACGACTCCTGCACCCCGCAGGGTTCGAACGCAGGACCTTCGGTATTGTGCGCGAATGCCCTAACCGTTAAACCACTGAGCCGGTATCTAACGGTGTTAATGTCTAACTTGATCAAATTCACGTAATGCAAATTATGAAACGATCATAAGTTAACTTTTTTCGAAAACTTTAACTGATCTCAAATGCATTTGATCATAGCGCTACAATCGTATTTACTTTTTTAACTTCAACGGAATGCTGAGTTAAATCACGGTGGTGTTTTGTTCTCTGAGTTGGATGTTCTTCTGAACAACATCATTAGCACAAACTGAAGATAGAAGTGAAGTATTCGAATTTCTCCACGTTTGAGTTCAATCAAATTAGATAAATTTTATACTTTTTGTTTGAATTTCATTTAGTACATTCTTTATGTTTAATTTCATTTATATGTTATCTCTAAAGAAAACCTTCAATATTTCATAAATACCTCAACACAATATTCATATAGCTTTGGTTGTACATTTTTACATAGTCTAAATATATTACATTATGTATCGTTGGGGAACGATCAGTACATCAACTTCATTGACAACCGGAAAGCATTTAGCAGTATTTACAGAAAAACACTATGGAAGCTTCTTCGACACTACGGCCTGCCTGAGAAGATAATCAACGTTATACGGAATTCGTATGGTGGATTAAACTGCAAAATCGTGCATTGAGAACAGCTCTCAGATTCTTACGGTGATCAACTGGATTGTGAAGACATCAATATCTGAAGGGAAGCATGGAGTAAAATGGACAGCTGGGATGCACCTGGATGATCTAGACTTTGCAGATGATCTGGCTCTTCTATAGCATACGCAAGGTCAAATGCAAGAAAAGACCACCAGTGTAGTTGCAGCTTCAGAAGCAGCAGGTTTTAACATACATAAAGGGAAAAGCAAGATTCTCCGATGCAACATAACATGTGCCATCCAAATCACACTTGATGGAGAAGCTTTGGACGATGCAACAAGCTTTACATATCTGGGCAGCATCATTGAGGAGCAAGTTGGATCTAATGCAGATGTCAAGGCTTAGATCCTCAAAGCAAGGGCTGCATTTCTACAATTGAACAGCATCTAGAACTCAAAACAACTGTCAACCAACACCAAAGTCAGAATTTTCAATACAAAAGTCAAGATAGTTCTCCTGTATGGTACGGAGACTTGGAGAACCATCAAAGTCATTATCCAGAAGATATAAGTGTTCATTAACAGCTGCCTATGCAAAATACATCGAATCCGTTGGTCAGATACCATCAAAAACAACCTACTTCCAGAGAGAACAAACAAAAATTCCACTGGAGAAAGGAATCAAGAACAAACACTGAAAGTGGACAGGACACATATTGATTAGTTTAAATGTGAAGAAACACTGTGCTGACAAGTGTCAATTATAGCAAGAAACCTAGATTTTAAAGTTTTCGCTAAACTCTTTTCAATCATCAAATATTAATGTTTTAAATGTCAAATCATTACCACATTGATGACATTGTATGTGAATTCTTATGTTTGAAGGTCAAAAAGTGTTAAAATTAACGAAGTAATCTATATTTACATGTACTAGAATAGAAATCCTTCCCTTATAGGATCATTTCATTTCAACTTCTATAGGATCATGATATGTAAGTGAGGAAATATGGAAGAAAATGATTTATTCACTTACCTGTTATGATATAGGACTGTAGTGAATGCATCACTTACAAACCTGGGTGAATTACTTTTGCCATATATAGCCTATAGGATAATGAAATAAATTAAGGGAAAATAATAAGAATATAAGTAAAATGTGACACAAAAACAAACAGTTATATATATATATATATATATATATATATATATATATATTAATCAGAGAGTATGCTACAATGAAGCGAAAGACCATAACATATATTCAGCATAGGAGAAAAACTGAATATCTAGAAACTATGACACCTTCATTCAATACTGAACTGAAATTCACAGATACTTGTTGATTCAACTAAGATGTATCTTTTAGCTGCATGCACTGAATTACACCAAACAGAAGTTTCAGTGAAATTACTAAAATCATCACTTACTGGAATCACTTTAGTCACAGTAGAATCACTATACATCAACTGTACACGAACAGTAATATTCCGAGAAGAAGCTTGTTTTGAAGGTGGAAGACTAACACTTCGTGGATAGATATATAAAAGATTTCTATAAACAAAAAGCATGTATATAATAAATATATGTTACAATTAAAGAATATATTCATATTTATACACAATCAGTTAAATATCTAATCACAATATGATCACTAATATCAATTAACACCAACGTATCTATCTACCACTTACAATGATTACGAACAAGTGAACAACTTAGCAATTGTAAGTTTATTAAAAAAATACCACAATATTAATAGAATATTAATTATTACTAATATCCAGGAAGTAGTATAACTCAATCAACGGTCATATGATGGGAATTTTAATTTTCAAAATATTTTTAGAGTTCTCTGAGGCTTAAAAATGAAGACAATAACTTAATCATATGAACCCAAGGTCTAGAACATCTTGATAACTAACTGCACACAGTACACACTTTAATGAAATACACACTAACAATAAGTTATCTAACTAGCTGTAGACTAAATTGCATTCCTTAAGTCTTATAATCAAGAACTTATTGACTACGAAAAACATTAAACCGAAATCTACATTTTTTTTAGTGATATTACATTGAGTTTACTAATCAATAATAGATATTCACTTTATCTTACTAAAGTACTATAATATATGTATATATGAGTTATTCATTTAAAATCCATTAGGATCATTGAGCTTAAAAATACATTCTTTTAATTTAAGCAATAAATATCAAAGATCTTTAGTTGTCAATTATACAAAACAATGTTTTGCATTAAAAAATCATGTAGGTACATATATTCACACAACACAGAATTAACAATATGAATCGTGATCTATATTTATGCAACAAAAAAATGAAGAATATAAAATAAATTAATTATCACTGATTCAGTATAATCACATTTCGATTCAACCAGTTTTAACATCACTTTGTTAATAGTTACAATTATTAACGAAGTAAACCTTTTACTTCAATGAGGGTATATTACATTCAATTCAACTATATGACTTTATCAATATCCATAAAACTATAAATATAGAAAATTTAACAATTGATTCCAGCAGTTTCCTGGTTATTTTCTAAATAATGTAATTGTTGAAATAATAGTGTTGTCTAATTTTAAACAACGTTTATCATTCAAAACAATTAGTCGCTTTGATAAATTTGGATAATATAATAAAAAGACGAATTTTATCAGAATTAAGTGAGTAAACCAAGATTTATTGGAGTCTTGACCATATGAAAATATAAACTCCCTTTGCAAAGGCTTCTTTTCATCCTGGATCTGCCCTGGTAATAGTATTCTATTATTCAGCGTAGTGAGTTTTACATTGTTTTCACAATATTCTCTTTATAATCATTGGTTCCGCTTACCAACCCCATCTGTCTAGTTGACCCTTAATTTTTTTTATATATAAATGTTCTTAAAAAAGTGTAAGTATGATCAGATTGTTCAAAATGTATCACATAGTTCTGCAAATTTTCGTCAGATCGTTACATTTTAATTTACTCAATAAAGTGGAAATCGGTATTTAATAGTGGGAAGAACATTCATAACTAATCTATGAACTAGTGAATAATGATCAGTATTCACCAATGAGCACTCAAAATATTACTAGTGTAAGCTGTTTGTGAAGATTGGTAAATCGATTATGTTTATATAACGGATCAATTTTAGTAACACCAATAATGAAAACTAGAAGGCATTACTGTGTGAATAATATTAGGATTTTGATGAATGGAAGTCAAAAGGGCTTTTTAATATTGATAAATGGAGACAAAGAGAGATGTTGAAACTCATGAAGTGATAGTTGAACTAGAGTGTCTAAATTGCACAACTACAGTTTCAGTTGACTTATTTCATGTACTGAATAGTTCAGTGATTGAGGAAACTACCTACACAGTAAATGAATGAACTTAAAAGAAAAACAAACAAAGATGTGAAGGCTAGACTCCGTTTTTAGTAATTTCATAATCAATTTCGACTGACAAAGACTCAATGTAAAAAAAACCAATCAATCAAGACAGTTAATGAACTAAAAGGTTTAAAATTATTCCAACTTAATCAAAACAGTGATATTAAGAGAGCATTCAAATCAAGACATCATTTGTAGTTACGTTCAGATTATCCTTCAAAAAAATGTAACTTAAGACCTATAACTTTTATCTATTTCAGAGCATTTATTTTCACTTTAACTACTAGCCTGCAGTTACCCCAATATTTTATTTTCCAGTGTTCGTTGATCATCTTAATAGTAGTAAACTATTTTTAATAAATCAACATTTACAATCCTCCTCTCTTAAAACAAATATCGTCATTATCTAACTACATAAAATCTAATCGTAATTTTTAAGTTAGTCATCAAATGATTTTGTTTGTATCGATCGAAATGGAAACATTGTAAATTCTTTTATCATAAGAATTATGTTAATTATTTTTAAATGTAACTGTTAGGAAGATTCAGTGATTATTTTAAATTTTTCAAAAAAGTTAGCTATACATACCTATTCAAATTGTGGTCATTAGATAATTAATATAAAAATGTATTCTGCAGGTGCATTTTATCTCAACTACATAATTAATGATGGTTTTCGACAATTAGAGTTACCCACATGAATTAAATTTAATCATAAATTACATCCCATATTAAAAAAAGAAACTTAAATGCATAAAATAATTCTCAAAAAATGCTACTAACATTATTGATTTCAGGCGCGAAAAAATTCTCAGCACTCAATCTCCCGCAACACAAACTTGCAAGCTGTTCAATTTCAATCCAGTGTTTACACTGGACAATCTATTTACTTTCAAGCATTCATGAGACATTGTTTCTTAGGTGCATATCTAAAAATTAGCACAGAGCATAATGTATTCTATGGTGCGAACTTTCCAGTAAACGTAAAATATTAAAAAAAAGATGATTTTTTACTTTGAATAAACTTTAAATTTGATGAAAAATCTATTTGATTATATGTAAAAAATATATCTGATGAATCATCTTTAAACCAGTGTACGTTTTATGATTTATTCAGTTAAAAGAATCGAACACTTCACAGGCGACAATCATTGACCAAGTTAGAATAAACACGATAGAGTACTTAAATAAAATAAAATGACGTGAAAACCGACTTAAATGATTTACTTGTCTGAGAATATACAATTACACATAGTGCCACTAAAAATCGTCTAAATTTAAATATGAATGCATGCCTAGGCATTAAAACACTTACAAACACAGACACGCACACATAAGAGTACACTAGTGTACATTAAATTTATGCCGATATGACGAACGAAGACGAAATGTAAGTCTAACATTTTAAAGACATTCTAAGATATCTAATATAAACAAAAGATAAAATTTCTAGTGTTTATTAAACTAAACTATAAAAATATTGTTCAGTTATAAAAAGAAATGAATAAAGTAAAATGTACAGAGATATAATATTTTAATCGACATTTTGACAAATAAATATAAAATATAAAAGATATATTGTAGAAAATCGACAATCCTTAATTTAACTTTACATATAGTTGTTAATGAATATTCTGTAGGAAAAATTCAAAGCAACCAAATTACAAATAAATCCAATGTATAAAAAATAAATATTTGGCAAACTCTGGTCAGGTATTATAGATTGTCTGTTATCAAAGAAACTAAGAAAGATCAGTTTATGTTTTCATAAAATTACTTTCCTCAGATTTTAAAGGTTCTCACCTGTTACACAAATCATGCCATGGAAATCCTAATTTTTAATTTGGTGTATGTTATATGATAGTTTATCAGCTAATCAATTTTCAGTAAATAAATTATTGAAGCATTTGTCTTATTTAAATAGATATTCTGTGTTCAAACCCAGATAAGTTGATGAATGTATTCATAAACATGCTGTTCAGCTTTTGGCTTTGTTGTGGAATCTGAAATATTCATTGGAAAAGTCTATAGAGGTACAGAAACGTCTGGAAAATACTGAGTCACACGCTAAGATTCTGAATCAACATTTAGCTATACGGCTAGTATATTTAGTATGGTTCCCGAGCCTTCTAAAACCTCAACGTCATTAGTAACTATATAAATACTCTCATTTTCCTGTACATAAACTAACATTGGAGCAAAGCGTTTCCATACTTCGCAGCTTTGCTCTTGTGATCAAGTTGCAGTCTAAATTTAGTCTAGGGTTATGAGAAGCAGATAGAAACGCGCATCTTGCGACCATGCAGCAGACTTACCAGGCTTTTCATCATATGATACTTAAAACCGAAGTTAGCGTTTCACAAAACTGTGAGATCGATAGCTGATATTTTGTTTTTAAACAAAGCATGTAGACATAGAGTGTTGAAAGTTCATCTGACTACAACGCATTGGTGTAAGAAATTACGCAAGACTGCTTTGCGTACTAGATAAAAGGAAAATGAATATCTACGGTGATCTTCAAATTATCAAGTTAACAACCACTGTCGGTTATTCAGTTTAAGTTGATGTGTTTCTAACCCATTGTACCAAATATTTTCGTATAATAAAGAGCTTAAGTAAATAATTGGCTTAGAACCTCACTATTTTATCTAAGGACTAGTGATTGTATTAGTCTGTCCGGAATGAATTAAGTCAAGTAGAAATTACAATCCTATGGTCGAATCTCTCAGTAGCTACGAAAAGCCACTAACAGATTGATGAAAATATTGCTTGCTAAACATTTGTGATTTATGTATCAGCAATAATTAAACAAAAATGTTGACGATTAAGGCGATTTACAGATAAATAAAACAATCTCTCTTTGTGTTTTTACAAACAAACCAAATTTAGAATTTACCCACTCACATACTATGCGTATTTAAAAAACAGAAAATTAAATAAGGTACACCTACCGATAAGAAGTAAAAGGAATCATTAGATCTGGTGAAGGCAATTCAAGCACTTCACGAATCAAATTTGGAATATTTCCAATAATTGACGAATTATTATCAATTTTATTAACTAAAAAATCATTATATGCTTGAAAAATTGAACCCGTATAAGGAAGACATTCAGGATTGAGTAAAATTCTAGACTGATTAATTAATTCATTTTTTCCACCAGAAATTGAACATTTTTCCATACTAACATTGGTTGATTTTAACAATTTAACAAGACTTGCTGAATTTGCCCAATGTAAGCGTACATTTAATGATATATTTGATATTGTTTTAAAACGTTTCACTGAACCACTAGTAGGACTAAATGCAGATGAAAGATTTATTGAGAAGTTGGAGAATGTTAAATTAGAACTATCCATATTATTATTGTTGTTATTACTGTTATTATTACTATTACTATTATTATTGACAATATGATTATTCATTGTAATACCATTTATTCCAAGACCAGATGAAATATTAGATCGATGATTTAATAGTGTTTGACGATGAATTTCATTAACATGACGGAATAATTCATCGTCATTTATTCGATCTTGTTCCTTGAAAGAAGAAAATAAAAAAAAACAAGACGGAGGAAAATCATCCAATAGCTCTACTTTGATTTGATCATAAATTAGATGACTTCATGTTTAAAATAATTCATTACGAAAAACTGGGCATTCTAATCAATTTGGTATATATAATGTAGTCTCAACACAAACCATCAAAAAGATATTATTATTAGAAGATGGACGAAAATCGACACTGATTAATTAATACGATGTTCATCTAATTCTTAGTATACATCAATTGTGACCGATCAAGTCACGCTGGTAGCACCAGTCTAAATAATTTAATAGATTTATGTGCACTATTTTCTACTAATACAAACTGATGGATGGAATTTAATCAGTTGTTGGGGACGGTAGATCCCCAGATCTCACTTGGAAGAGGTCTTAATTTTGTAATTCAATTCTGGAATTTTGAATTTCCATGTTTTCGTGCCAGTTGACCTTCAGCTCACATTTCTCCCCACGGAGAATCCTTGACTGTCATTGGTCGATGGATTACAACTGTATTAGGCTATTTTGTGGCTCTCCCAAGGGCGTTTCTATCATGTATAAATAAGCTCGATTTGTGTGCTTGTCAACCCCGTATTTTCTGGGTGCTTGTAAATTACGCTCCTTAAGCCTTATCAAGACCTCTTGATTCAGGTAACTGGGGCTTGGACAAACGGATTAGAATAGCCTTTCGTGTCAATGAGTTATTGCTTTCGTTCTGTTTATCGAGGAATTTGAATTCGTAATAGCATTCAAGCATATCAATCGACAAGCATATCATCACTACTATGAAATAGGCATAAGTTACATTTTTCACAACTGTGATCAATTACTGTCAATCAATAATCGATTAATTTTGACATATTTATGAAATGAAGTAGAGAAAATGCACCAAATACTAACAAATGAATTGAGTTATATATCAGCACTAGAAAAACATATTTTCAATTCTAGTGGGTTGGTACGTATAAATCAATAAAGTATTTTTCTAGGGTGTTTAGTTAGTATAAAGCACCAATACATACACGGATCTACATAGAATATGTTTTTGCTAGTACCTAAAATAAAAACATCATGTTAAATGAATCAACTCACTATTTTTTAAAAATTGCTAAGAAATAAAAACTTGTTAGAATCAATACATAAAAATAAACGATGTACAGTATACTCATAATGTACACATGATATAGAAAGTTAAGAATTCACAACCAAATATAGATTTTAATGACACCTCATTGATTAGAAATTTGTATTTCTGACATTTCGTGACTGAATGCAAGTGACCTCTTTAAAGTAAGCAAATGAATAACCGAAACAAATTAACACAAGTTTGAACAGTAAACAGGACCTCAAAGTGTTTATTTGTGTGTACGAAGGTGGGTAAGAAAAATATGTAATTTGTGGAGTTAACACTAATGAAAATCGTGTGTGTATGTGTGATTGTGTAGAAAGCGAATAGAATCAAATTTGATTATCTGGATAAACAGTTCATGTTGGATGAACAGTCAAGCCTTCTTTCCTGTTGAGAGAGGAGGGATTCAGCATTTTATTCAATGCTTCAGCTACTTGCCTCTCATTACAGTACGAAAAGCCTTTCTGAATTACTTTGATATTATTAATATCTATTTAGTGGTAATTGAAAATAGCACGGACTGCTGCTGCTGATTTAATTTGTAGATTTTCTAGTTCTGCGGGATTATTAGATCTCATTGTGTAGCTTCAGTGCATATTTGACGAGGAAACTTTCCAATGTAGAACGTTACATAGTCGACACAACCTGATTAGTAGACACGATTTCGTGTGGATATAAAATTTATTCTATCCCTAAGGTGTTTCGTAAAGTGTTGGTTGTTGTTTTTTTATCGAAAGCTTTAATTCTGAATGTTTCCAAGATCTGTAGTAGTTCTTTTCTTGTACCTTGGTGGTGAAGTAAAGCCACAGTATCAATTTAGTAGATTTGTTATTTATGGATGGATAGTTTCGTTTTACTAAGTCTTAAATAATATTCACAAGAAAATTATTAAACCGTAAGATGTTCATTTAATCTTTTTACTTTGGCTGAGTTTCTGAAGTAGTGATCTTGGTAGCTCTTTTAAATAAATTCAAATAGTGATTTATTTCTCTGACTGTAAACCATTATTTGTAAATATTTGAGAACTAGTAATATTAACTACTCAGTTGCGTAAAAGAAAGTTGATAGAGTTAGTTTCCAATTAGCGAATGAATGATTTTAAGTCAAGTGATATAACTCGTAGGGCTACAAGCAGTATAACATATTATCCGCAGATCTTCAGGGTAACAGTCTGGATTCACATTATTCTTGTTTTTATCAACACCATGACACAAAAAGACAACTGTATATATAAGCAACTTCAATGTTGAATAAATAAGTGCTTCTAAACAGATCATTATATCCGGCAGTGAATTATCGGATAGTTTTACTGAATAACTAACTCCAAGTAACTAAATCATGTGTAAACAAATCAACACTATAAAAGTACTATGACTATATAAAACCATAAACATATTATATGTTTGGAATTTCAGATGAATTTAACTAAGAATTCAAAACAGCTACAATATCAGCTAAATAAGTCATAAGTAGCTAAATACCAGAAAGAAGCAGTCACCTGTATACTTCCTTCGTTTATAATGGAATTGTGACAACCGAAACAAACAGGCTGGCAAATCATTCAAAAGAAAGTAGTACATGTTTATTCAAATGAAGAGAGCTATATTTGTTAGACTCACGAAAGCTCAATAGTGTTTTCTCATACGATTATATATTAAACATAAAATGTGAAGGGTATGAGCACTGAGTTACACAATACTAATGGACGTTTTATGTTAGGCAGTAAACTGAAGATAACGCCAAAACAGAACCTACTTTATTCAGGAATCGTGTAAAGTCGATTAAAGAGATCATTGTAAAAAGTTTTACACTAAATGTTAAAAGCAAATTTTACAAAAACTAGAAAAATTCACTAAACCTGACAAATCTTCGAACTATTATCAATCAATTTCCCATTTGTTCAAATGGTGTGTAATAAGCTTACTTGTCTAAAGAAAGTATTAATTTTTAATTCTATAGGTGAAAAGCCAATCGGATCAAGTTGTCCATTTATTTTTGAACCATTGGAAATACTTTGTTGAGAACGTTTTTCATGATGACTAGTCACCATTCCTTTTATCCAATCATATTTTGCTTTTTTTACATAACGTTCAGGACTATTCGATGATAATGAATCACAAGGATTAACATTATTATCTTCTGTACGATTGTATAGAGCAGGATCTACTGATCGACTACGTGTACTACCTCCACTACCACGTAGATTTCGTTTATTACACTCAGAATATTGTTTGTTAAGATGCATGGCTAAATGGAAAACACAAAGGAAAATAAAACAAATAAAGAAATCATAACATTATACAGGCATAAAAATGTAATACCTACATACCTGATATGATCAGTTATACAAACAAATTACATTAAACAACATAAATCAACTACAAATATGAGATTGATCCACTGAAGAAATATTAGACGGCAGAACTTAACAAGCGACTGTATTTTATTATCATAAAACAAGCATAAAGAAAATCACATTCACTGTAAACAATCTTAGAATACAACCGTACAGATGCTGAATGATTTAAATTGATATATAAATATAACTTTTTCAAAAGCATTATTCAGAAATTCAGCCTGAAGCTCTTCTAGGGTTACTACCAGTCCGAAGCCCAGATAGAGGAGGATGGCTTGGGCATGGGGGTTTATGACTCCATCCCATAAGAATCCAAATAGCTAAAACTACGCTAATCAGAAAAAATAATTCTTTGGTTGATGGCTTACCTACAGGTTTAAGTAAACAACTATTCAGACCATGAAATTGTAAGTATATAAATTATTATCTCATTGGTTAAATGTTGATAAACAGATGAAACAGTGAACAGTTTATAAAAATTTAAGGGCAAAGTGTACTTAAGAGAAATATTATATTTGATGGGGAATTAATAATTTTTGAATAAACAATCAACTTGAATAATGGTGATATTTACAGAAACATGTCGACTAATTTTAATCATTCATGGTGTCATGGTGTGTAAGTAATCTCATTATTGTAAATGTAATCAATTCACCTAACGTTTCATAAAATCTAAAAACTCCATCTTTTTTTTTTAGATTGCATAAATTAATTCTACAAACTTACATTCTGTTGTTTTCGTGCAATGAATTTCATCAGTTTGCGTCTGAAGAAATTGATTATGAGCATCAATCATGTACGGTGTTAAATCAATAGCAGTCCAAACTAAAGGCATACGATAACGTCCTAAACGTTGACAACACCAGTTTATTGTGGTTTTAAGTTTATCTTTATTCTATAAAAAGAAAAGAAAATACAGAAACAAACAAAAACAATTTAACGATTTGTTTACTTCGTTAAAATAATTTAAATAAATCGTTGAAAATGTTTACTTTCCAATGTAAAATCATAAAATCAATTGAAAAAAAAACATGGAAAAATATTTGGATTTGGATATACTTTTTAAGAATGTTTACACGCGTTCTAAAGTATTTGTCTGCAAACTTAATTAGGGAGGCGGATGAAACGATGTTGCGAACCATGCAAATAAAATTTCTAACTTTTTAAGGTACTCTACGACATGCCTGATTGATTGCTGTTCAATGCATCAGTAGTGATACGATTTAGATTAGAGAAAGTGTTTTAAACGAAGAAAAAAGGAAAGAGATCTCATTGGATCTGTGTCAGATGTAATCGTTCCATATAATTTTGCTTCTACTTGCCATTATTGTATACGTTTGATGTATAGATTCTATGATCATTTTCTGCCAATTCTTCGAAAAAGAGAGGGCAAAGAAAAGTTACGAACTGCTGTGTGGGCATTTCTTAAGTTTCTCAGTAGTTATACTTAAGACAGGTTATAAACATTCTATATATGTCCGTAAACACAGTCATGACACAAAGATAGTTACTAAAAACAAATCGAAAACAGCAAAATATATTGCGATAAAACATATTTGAAAAAATACTGTCCCATAAAATTGATCAAGCCACTTGCATTACTGTCAAGTACAGTTCCGTGTACTCAGCTAAGAGTCGTAACTCTCAATGTAAAAGTAACTGGTACCATCCGCCCATTAAAACTTAAATGAGTAGAGTGTGTTCAGTAGTCCTAATCTGTCGGTCAAAATGTGAATGCTTTGTTGATGATGCAAAGAGTAAGATCCCATTGACATAGTGCTAACTTCTATTCATATTATTAAATACTCCTACTTTGCAGAAGAAACAAAAACTAAATACTTATGTATAATTACTTAAAATTGTGATGGTGTTTCGTTCTCTGAGCTGGGTGTTTTGGTTGTCGTGCTCATATATGAAGTTTATGCTGATGATGTTGTTCGGAAGAACAATGAAAGCTCCACAACCAAAACATCCAACTCAGAGAACGAAACACCAACACAATCATCCACCTGAGCTACAAATTTTCTCCATCAACTTAATACTGTGTACATTTTGATATACTACAAACAAGACTGTAATATACTATCGAGGAACATGGAAAAACTTGAGAGAGAACAGGAAAAAATAAATTAGGTTGATTGTAGTGTAATACCATGTATTGAGTTAAAACCATAGAATTGTTTCTTAACTATACACAGCGATGAATTAGATAAAACGCCTAGTGTTTGATAACTGACGTAATACATACTAAATACTCTTCTATATACATTAAATTCATAGTGTAGTTTAATTTTGTACTTACTGATCTAACTAAAAACACTTTTTGAAATTGTTTCTCAGTGCCACTTCTATGTGTAGAAGATTCGAAATTTAATGAATAAACACTCATCTTATTTTTATTTATTTAACAAATGCAAATAAATGAATACATGTCTCCAGTTCAGTATATACAACAACAAGTGTACTGTATTGAACATTTTTATATACTTTATTTTTATATGAACAAATATTCTGATAATATGCTACATGTACATGGTTGACAAGTGATTCCATACAATGCAACATAAAATATGTGAAGTCAAAATAAAAGATGGCGATTTTGTAAGTGTTCCGTTCTCGAATTTGTATGACTTAGTTTCGAACCTTTCATTTTCTCTTTAAGCAATATCTTACATACAACCAAAAGAACTGAGCAGTTAGAATCTCTGCACAATTAACTAACAGCATGTTCTGTTGAAGAAAATTATGACTCTGGTTGGTGCTCTGTAAATCGTGCAACTAAGTGGCTAAGCTTGAAATACTAACAAATATGGCTCAGAACAAAAGTTCATGGCGATTCCGTCCACATTTTTAATCAAGTAGTGATAGAAATTTCCCTAATTGATAAGATTCTTTCTGAGTGTATTTGTAACCAAACTATTTCTTTTATTATATAATACTAAAGTTATCCTGTTTTCTTCATCTGTTTATTTTTAATTATGCTTGCTCTCCTTTCTCGATCCACTCACATTTTCACCTACTTTTTTATGTGTAACATATTTATTTCAGTGCCAAATCGTACCAGTATTTATGTGAATTCAATAAAAAATTTTCTGTTCACCAATGTTTGTTTGTATGTAAACAACCTTAACGCAATTATGTTGAAATTGTATAGAAAAATCAAAGCCTTAAAGATAAGTCATCCAACTAATAGAACATAAAAATTCCAAGAGATAATTCTCATTTTGATTTTTAAACTCCCTTGTACAATTAAGTAGTACTCGGTACTTACTTAAAAGAACTTAAGTAGCTATCTCTTAAACTGCTCCACATTTATAGTACTCAACATTACTTTGCTACACTTCGTTTCCAAAACAGTTTAATATTGGGTTTTAGATGGATGTGTCATACACTAAAATTTTCCACAAATATTAAGAAACAAAGCATTCGAACATGAAAATATCCTCTTGAGAGAAAATTGGTAGGATAAATAAAGGTAATAAGGGTATCGCTCACCTTTTCATCCTTGTTATAACCTTCAATGATGTCATTCACATCACCTTGTTGTAATACCTTCTCTACCTATTAGAATAATGAAAAAATAAGTGTGGAAAGAAACTAATTATTAGGTAAGAATAACTGACAAGTGATTACATGATTGAGTCGTTTTGTTTAAACCCAGTGATGGATATTGGTGAGATCGCAACAAACTGAAGTAACTTAGTGACATTTTACTTTCAAATACATGTTTAAATTGTTTCGGAACGCAGGTTTCCAGTGGTTATCCAATAAAGTATACAAAATTTTAACGCTAAAACACGTCGCTCTCTTTGTATTATTCTAATAAGGACAAGATAATGATAAACAGAGGTTTAAGTTGCAAAATATATCAGAATTAGAGTTCCAAGAGAAAATACTGAGCATCAAACGATTGTCAAATTGAGAAAGAGGATAATAGCCAATACATTAGCAGTGATGGCGCCGCATTCGACAATGTCTGAAATATAATTCCTAATTGCTGATAAAAAATTTCTAGGGGAACCTAACCAAGGAGATCACAAATCCATTTACGGTACAGACACTACGCTCGATGATTTCACGTGTTGCTAATCTTTCTTTGATTAGTTTTCCTTGGTTTGTATTTGACTTTTCACCGATATATTTTATGCAACTACTATATAATTATATATCAAATTAGCATATTTAATGGGGTTTTGGATAGTCAACCACCTCTAAAACAATGCGTTGAATAATTTTTGCGAAACCTGACAACATAAATATGTTTTAAAGCAGTCAACATCATCCAATGAATTGAAAATTGTCATGTAATGAATTTTAAATCTAAGTACAGAACTCCATTTAAATGTTTCACAATATATGTTTAGGTTTTAATTTGACAAAAACGTAGAAGGTTTTTAATGACGATAATATACTTGCAATATCATAACTGCTGGCTCGGCGTAAACCATGTACACAATAAATACCTTAGCGTAGAGGAAATTTATGCGTCTTAATTTCGTCTGTAAGTAGATACTAATGAGGATTGCATGTAAAGCTAGGGGCCTACAAATAATTCTGGTAGTTTTGTATGTTTTGGTCATCAAGAGGTGAAACATCATAGTTATGATTTGAAACAGATGTGAATTAATTCTACGCAAGTTTTATTTTGATTAACTTCAGAAGCGAATTGCCTATCACAGCTTAGAGTTTCCTCATAAATTTTGCATCGATATCCAGATTTGTACTTTTAACTCAAGTTAGAAGATAAATTCAGTTTTATCAAGAGAAACTGTAAGCTACTCACGTAACGGGTCAATTAAAGTAGCCTGAAAGCTGCGAACAGAATCGATTTATATTGTGGAGCGCTATTTAAACTAGTGACAGCATTAGGAAATGTCATAACACTAAAGCCTAAAATAAGTAACTCTAATGATAGAAACAAAAAAGTAACAAGCTCAATATATCAATCAATAATCACTTAGTTTTGTGGTGAGTAAATTTTCATCAGTAAATAAAGACGATCAATCAAAAGTTTAAACTTTGATAACGAAAATACGGTAGAAAATCAGGACTAGTGTATTACGTCTGTATTAAAAAATGAATGTTGGGTTTTTAGTTTACATCATATTGGTACCCTAGATTAAATAGAAATTTCTCGTCAATGTTTACTTTCTAAATTTCGCAAGAAGATGAAATGTCATCGATGATATACATTATCCCTAAGTATAGCCCTAATTTATTATAATCAACTGTCGAAAACTCTATCCTATAAAGTTGATTACAAACATTGCATATTGATGATTTAGTAGAAGTGACATAATTAAACAGTAAATCATTCGAAGTGGAACGTTCGTAGATTCTTAGAACCAAAAATATACAAAATGCATTGCTTAAAATTTAAAATTCTACTTCCTAGTTGTATTAAAATACACTGTATACAAGTTGCAAGGAAGAATAAACAACAATTGTATTTGTTACACTGTTAGTTAATAGCTAGATAGAGCTGGAACTACTATTAAATTGAACGACAATTTTTAAAGGATATTGTTAAAAATATACTACACCATATACAGAAATTGTGAAATAACCAAACTTTATGTAGTGCAACAGGGATGAAATACTTTTTAGACGTCAATATATGTTTCGTTCCTCCTATAGTTGTTAATATTGACCTATTTTATTGAAAGACACTGAAATATCGACTTAAATGTGAAAACTCATAATAAAATCTGAAAGTTCTGAGCTCGATATGGTGGTTATAACTGTGAAGGAAATAATCTTGATGATAATGCTTTAGCGAAAAATAGCATATTAAGACTACTAACTTGTGTTAGGTATAACAAATAAATTATGATGCTAACAACCAGACTTGTCATAAAAGGTGCAATAATGATGATTATTTCTAGCTTACTCGAATAATTAGAAATAATCCACCTTTACAACAAGATGTTTTACAGGAATTAAAAGCGGGATTTTCAGTGCATTCTGAAGCAAATAGTAAAACGTCTTCCAAGCAAAAATCTTCGCTTTTGTTTGATTCACAGTCGTTTGTTGGAATATTCGAGTGTACGCCAATTTTTTCCACCGAACCTCCAGACGGTGACTTCAGAAAAGGTTTCATAATAATATTTTTCAGACTCGTTGCGTTGGAAAAATTGTATCGACTACTTATTCTAAACAGACAATTCTGTGCTAATGAGGTGGCATCACGATAAGCTAACTGTTGGTTTGTCATACTGCCGTTGAACAAGTTCATAAGCTTAGTAGAATTGGTATCGAAATGGAATGTTTCTGTAACTTTAAGACGTGAATGAACATCGTAAATAAATGCTGAACCGAAAATAGGCTCTAAATCACCATCATCCAATTGCAGCTGAAGAAACTCTGTCAGGAGAAACATAGTTGGATTTGGTTGACTTTTGATTAAACTGAGTTGTCCTAACGACCATTTGCTCCCAGGACTTAGTTGACGAACTTCGATAGCATCCTCCTGTTGCAGGTTGACAAAATATGTAAGTGAACAAAAAATATGTTTTATACATCATGAAAATAATCAACAATACATTCAGTTATTACTTCCAAGATCGTCCCCGCCCCCGAAGGAAGTTTAACACATCATATCTCACAAAGCCACTCACATTTACTTACTAGCCCATTATACTGTTGCATACAGTTATGTCTGGCAGCTTAACTAATTGGCTGAGCAGAATCATGAGATAACACTAGGAGTATCTGAATGATAGGATGAATTGTGTGGATGTTATCAGATATAAATAAACGCAGAATATAAAGAAAATATTTTGGAAGAGTTCCATGTGAAATCTTGCTTAGTGTCGTAAACAAAAACTAATCACAAGATGTTATTTAGGACAGACTAATAAAAAACTATATACACACAAGTTTAAATTCTGAGTTAGATTATTAAAACCTGTATATACTGATAATTTTTGTGGGCTAACTTACCAATCTACCATAAAAGAAAGCTATACGTAACACTGTGAAAACAAACAATATGCTGAAACAGACGAATCGAACATATAAAAAGCTTTGTAGTAGCTTTATATGGCAAGACAAACTTTTCCAGGCAAGATCAATGTTTAAAACAGAAAATCAAAATGCTATATGAACGACAAAGCCGTTGTTAACTCTCAGAAAAGGAAGAATACATGAAAATCTAAGCACACTCTAAGAAAAACCCACATAAGATTGTTGAGTTTAAAATTGATCCCGTAAAAAAACTTCAGATACCTTAGCTAAAATAAACAAGTTAATTTTATATATTAATACAATGAACATAGACGTGAAAAACAATAAGTAAAAACAAGGCAATATCAAGTTGCCTTAAAAATATGATCAAGAAAAAGCAAGCTTACCCACTTCAGAGGTTCGTGTATACCCGGTAGTGACTTAAACGACGCTGTTACAGAATCATATGGAGAGCCCAAAAGATCATGACAATTAGTTTGGTGATCGTTATTTTTCGGAAATTCATCTTCATTACTATATAATTGTTTCTGAAATTTTAATTAATGGCCGCACCATAAGTTACCTTATGTGATACGTTTTTACTATCATGCAAGTCTGAACTTGAGAGATGAAAACATGAGCATTTTTTATCAAAACTTTGATCATCATGACTACGAATAATTACCTTAAACAAAGAACTTACATTACGAAACACTGTATAGATGAGTGGTAGGAAGAAATGCATTGCTGAACAGTTTGAGAAGCAGAACTCCTGTCAGTTGATAACCATATAGTGAAAAATATGCTTACAAATTATCAGGGACAGGTGACGGGTTGAAAGTTTTGCCACGTTTCAGGTTGACACAACTAATTGTCCCATTTATTTTTTCAGTATTATACGACATTTTTTATTTGCAAATCTAAACTAGCTGTGATTTTATCCAAAAAGTCATCACAGGTAGGAAATATGTACAGTCCGAAAACTGATACAAACTCAACCAACGCGCATAAAATCTGTAATCTACAAGTGGTTAACCTAAACAACACGTACGAGAAATTTTCACAGAATTTGTCTTCTATTCATCTACAATATTTCCTGCGAATCTTTCAACCTAACTGTAAGTGAGTTACCGTGGTCTGAATTTTAGTAAACAGTGTTTATCAAAGTATTTAGATCCGAAAACTTGACAACTTCAATAACAATGGGCTGCGGTTTCATATTCATTGTCCTATATCTTTTAAATGAGCTAGTATAAACCAGTTAATTCCTTTGGGCTCGGTTCTTTTTCTTTCTGTATGTTGTTGTTTGGTCTAATGAATTAATGTCTAGTCACTCAACCGTCTAATTATAGTCAGTTGGCAGTTGGTTGTGAGTTTGTATGTCACGCGATTTCAGTGAATACGTTTGTTCCAGTGCAGTAGGATTTACGGATACTAGTGGCAATCACATCACCAGACTTGTGATGCGACTAAGAAGATTTCATAACTAATTAAATGAATAGATAATTTAGTTTAATAATTGGTGGTGAATATTGTGAGAGAGGACCGAAATGTAAGCGAGGGAGAGGAAGCAGAGATAATAGGCAAGATCATTCAAGTTACTGAACTGAGGAGAAGACAGTAATAACGGCTAGCTAGTCTCAAGACATGCATCAGGCACAGCTTGTCCACGAGGGAGATGATAATCCGCATATGAGTACCTTTTTATCAAGTGTCTTCTTAAAGCTGTCCACTTAGGGGGTTGTGTTCACCTCCGCTGTGAGAGTATTTTAAGTCACAAAGACTATGAATGAGAAGTGTGCACGACCCGGCGTTCACTCTTGATATGCAATTTTTCGAGGATATCCTCGAAGGGGTTGTTGATGACACATCAGTGAGGCGCTCACGTCAATGTGAGTTGTCGAATCCTCTTCGCTTCGAGTGTACCTTCAGATCTTTGCATCGTCTGTGTAGATCAATGACGGCGAGTTAACTGTGTCTAACAGGTCGTTAAAAATTATCAGGAAGAGAAGTGGACATGAGATTGTTTCTCGTGATGCTCCCGATGCTGAGACTCAGCAACTCGCGTGCACTCTATTTACGAAACTTTCTATTCTCAAGGTAGCTTCTGAGGTTGGAGAAAAAGAACAGCTATTTGCAGTCTGAAATGAAATGATGAAAAATATAGCATCCCTTATGATAATAATGATAATATATTTATTCTCAAATAACTACGTTACAAGAGTCATGCCAGTTTACAAGCTAGATCAAATTGTCACAAATGCTTTCACACTTATTGTAAAAGTTATAGCAGTTAAATTAAGTATAGGGATCAGTTTCTGATACCATTTTTACATCATGTCACTGACAGAAACAGTATAATACAGCCACATTTTCATTAGTAGAGTACAAATAAGCAAGGTTCACAATAGGTTCTTTTGGCGATTGGCCGAGATCAATAGTGAATTTGTTGGGAAAGGGCAAATGAAACGCGCTTGATATGAGCTGTGATCCAGACAGTCATGTACATACAGTGCATGTTCCCTAGAGTCGCCAAGGATTTCCCACCATGAATGTGGTTCTGAAAAGGAGAAAAGAGAGAGAAAAAGGCAGCAGTGTGGCAAGTGTATATATATAACCAAAGCACTATTTAACCTGTCATGTTGAAGTAGTCAAAACTGTAGTAAGTCAAGATAAAATTCATACTGACCACTTAAATTAAAGTAAATTAAGGGAATATAAGAATATAACCCACAGATGTTCCCCTGGATTTTATTTCATCATCGACATAACAGTTAAATTTCGGAAATTATTTACTTACGCTTGTGACCCCCAACGGAGCACATTCCACAGACCATTATTCTCCAAATTACTCTGTCCTTGGTCTCCCTTTCCAGTTCTACCCAATTTTGTTCATTCTTCTCATGTCTTTCTCTATTTCCGGGCGTAATGTGTTCCTGGTCTTCCTCTTTTGTTTTGACCGTGTGCGTTTTAAGTGAGAGCTCGTCCTGTGACGAAGTTGGGTGCTTACTTCAGTGTGTGACTTATTTGCTTACATTACTTCTTCCTGATTTCCTCCTCCGTTAGAATCTGGTTTATTCTCACCCACAGTCAGTTGTTACTGAAGATGCATGGCGAACGGGTGGAAAGTATTTAGCATAGACAACTGTTATTGGACATCTATTACTTTTGGACGATAGCTTTCGTACGTCTCCAAGTTTCCGCTTCATACAGTGAAAATGTCTTGACATTTGTGTTGAAAATGATGATATCGGTGTTTGCTGATAGTTGTTTTGAGTTCCAGATGTTCTTCAGTTGTAGAAATGCAACCATTGCTCTGCCGATCCGCACCTTCACATCTGCACCAGATCAACCGAGCTCATCAGTGTTGCTGCCAAAATATGTAAAGGTTATATGTCTGCAGTCAAGTGTGATTTGGTTGTTGCATGTTGTGTTGTATCGGAGAATCTTGCTTTTCGTTTTAAGTATGTAGAGACCTGCTGCTGCTGGGGCAACTGCTATACTGGTCGTCTTCTTCTGCATTATTTGTTGCGTGTGAGATAGAAGAGCCAGAACTCGTGCGAATTTCAGATCTTCCAGTTGCATCCTGACTGTCCACTGTATACCTTGTGTCCCTCCAGATGTTATTGACTCCATAATCCGTTCGATCAACAGGAGAAAGAGAAAGGTCGATTGTACGCAACCTTGCCTAACACTGTTCTTCACCTCGGACGAGTCTGTCAGCTCTTCCCCGTGTACGATTTTGCAATTTAATACATCTTAAGAATTCCGTATGATGTTGGCTATCTTCTCAGGCACGCCGTAATGTCGAAGAAGCCTCTATAGTGTTGTCCTGTCCATGCTATGGAATGCTCCCCCGTAGTTGGTGTAGATGATCTAGAGTGCTGAGTTCCATTCTACTGATTGTTCCACAATGATCCGTAATGTTGCTATTCGGTCTCCAGTCTCTTGGTAATTGTTCGTCATCTCAAATCTTTTTGAGGAGAATTTGAATTATTTTTGCAGTTTCTTCCACGTTTGCTTTCAGTGCCTCTTCTGGAATATTGTCTGATCCTGCTGATTTGCCATTCTTGGTTTGTCTGATGGCCTAGCTGATCTCTTAAATTTTTGATAGGCCAAAATCTATTGGAAGGTCCGTAGATGCTGGTTCGATGTTGGGTGGGTTCAGTGGAACTTGTGGAATCAAGGGTTTCTTAAAGTGCTCTACCCACCTATTTGACTGTTCTTTAGTGTTGCTAATTACTTTGTCTTCCCTAGTTTGCACTGGTCGTTCTGCTTTACGATAGTTTCCGGCGAGCTTCTTTGTAGTTTCGTACAATTGTCTCAAGTTTTCTTTCCTTGCAGCCTTTTCCACCGTCATCGCTAGATCTTCCACATACGTTTATCGGCTTTGATGTTACACTTCACTTCCTTGTTGGCTTCTGTGTTTACAAAATACTTTACTCTTATTGTAATAGAATCTCAACAATCTAGTACAGGAAGCGATATCTTTAAAGTAACACTATCGAAGCAAATGAAAAGTTTATTTTTACGGTCTCTCCGAACAAATGTCAAAATGAACCTTTACTGAGATACATACTATAAGTTGTCAGGTGTATATCACACGTTCCAGACATTCTTCCCTTTACGAAATGAGTGTTGTTCACGTTAGTGCATATAGACTGTAACAAATCCTTTATTATTATTCATATTCTCCATGTCGGAAAGTGAATTCATTATCTTAAAAGTTGTAATGCTGTATCAAGTTGATGTTGTAATGATAGCCGCTTCCAAAACTAATTTTTGCTTCCAAGTGTTGACATGTTTATTTGTTCACCCTTAACCACTGTTGGTTTCGCTTATGTTGGCTTCCCATTTCCGATCAGTTTCGTCAATAGGCCTTTTAACAACTAACATTCGGTGTATTAGTATGTAGTGATTACTATTTTGGTGACGTGAGTTTATGATACTAGGTTTCAGAATACAGTAAAATCAATGTTTTACAGGCTACTTCGAAAAACTAGACTGTTCTAAGAAATGTACTATGCTTGTTTGGTTCAAACTGCTGAAGTAAGATTATGAAGCAATCTCTGTGGTTTAATAGGGGTTTCATTTTATGGGAATGTCTGGATTACTTCAAAGACCACTTGGGGATCAGCTGCATTTGTATTCCTTATAAGAACTAGTAACACCCGGAAATGTCCAATTTGGATTCGCATATGGATCAGTAGTGAACTCAGGAAGATCCGTTCGAGCACAAACAAACCTTTTGTAAGTCGAATAGAAAAATCATTGTTATGTGCGACCGTCATATTTATGTTCTGGTTCACAGACAAACATTTTTTTTTCTTTCACAAGGTAGTGCGAATTTGCAAGTCAAAATCATGCTGTCGAAAAGGGGTGTTTGCACACACCTGAGCTAACTTAACTACCCGGCCAGACCTGTTTGATGACTCACGTTCCGTTTTACCCACATTATGATGTCCGGAAGCTTTGGTAGTTATACTACTCCTATCATAGTTGAATTTTTTAAAAATCCATTTGCTTTTTAATCCCATATATAGTACCTTGCTCGTAGCCTACAATAACGATAGGGAATATGTTGGGGATGTTAGATCCCCAAAAATTTGCTTGATAATGCCTTATTTTGGTTTTCGCGTTTGCCAGCATGGGCTGATCAGTTGACCTTGAGATTTCGATTCCCACCAGGAAAATCAATGGCTGTGATTGGCTGCTGTGTATTTTAGTGTACTATTTTCTTAACTGTCTCAAGGACGTTCCTATCTTGTATAAATAAACGAGAGTTGTATGCTTGATTGTACTGTGATTGCTGGGTGCTTGTAGAATATACTTACTACGCTTACAAAGCCTTTTCACTTCAGCCTCGGATTCAAGGTAGCCTACCTGGACGCTGGTAAAAGTCTCGTTCGCGTTTATCGACTAAGGTAAACTCGTAATAGCATCAAGCATACTAAGTGACGAACTTATCAGAATATT